TTTTTATTCGCTATTGAAATGGTTATTATCAACAAATACCCATGCATATTTTTCTTATTATATTATATCTCGGATTGAACATAAGTAATTGATCATCATAGATAAATATTTTCAATCATTATCTTCGATTAAAATCAGAGTTGCGCCTAACAAATTTATATATTTTATTATTTTAGATTTATATATTTTTTTAATCGCCATTCAATGGCAACCACAACAGCAGTTGAAGATTGTAGTAGTTTAACAGTTACGACAACTGAAACTGATCAATCTGTTCAACCTCATTCACCTACACTTGTACTTGAATTACATCGTCCAACTGAAACAGGTCCACGTGTTCGTTGGTCAGAAGAAACAATTGATAATGAATTTATGAATAAAAAAAAATCGAAATGTTGTTGTATATTCACTAAACCACATGATCCTCAATCAAATGAAGATAAAACCACTGAAGTTGATGAATATAACAACTGTGAACATTGTCGTTATCATACAGAATCAGATTATGCTGCTAAACCCGAAGAACGTCAACCTAAAGTGAAGATAATTGTTGGAAAACTTCAATAATTTTGAAATTGATTTTGAAATTGATTTGTAAATTATGTTATCAATTAAACTATCTCTATCTTGATCAATTTTTTTTTATTACGAAAAAAATTTTTCATAATCATCTCGTCTTTCTTTTTAGATCATCTGATTGTTTTTATCTACCATCATTTGAAATAAAATGGGTCGCGTTCGTACCAAAACAATTAAAAAGGCATCACGCCAAATTATTGAAAAGTATTACACAAAATTGACCCTTGATTTCCACACAAATAAACGTGTTGTTGAAGAAATCGCTATTATACCAACAAAACGTCTTCGTAATCAAATAGCTGGTTTTATTACACATTTAATGAAACGTATTCAAGCTGGACCTGTACGTGGTATCTCAATTAAACTTCAAGAAGAAGAACGTGAAAGACGTGATAACTATGTACCTGAAGTTTCAGCACTTGAACCACAAACAATGATTTCAATTGATCAAGATACCAAGGATATGTTAAACGCATTTGATTTTAAAGCATTACCTAATATTGCTGTTCAAGAATCAAATGATCAACAAAATCAACAAGGTCATGGTAATCAACGTCAAGGTGGTGATCGACAACAAAGTGGTTATGCTCGACGAGCTGGTTTTCAATAAGAATTGATGGCCAAGCAAAAGAAAAAATATATCTATTCAATCCTATTGAATTAACAAAATAAGAACAATATATAACCATTGTTTTTATATTTTTGTTTTGTATTATCATCTAAACAATAAATGGGATTGAGATTTAAAAAATAAATAGAACAACAGAAATAAAAAAAAAACAGTTAATTTTTATTGATTATTTTAACAGAAAACGAAAAAAAAACGGTATTTTCATTTAGATTATTTAATAGTTTTTTTTTAATGAATGATTTATGGCTAATTATCGAAAATTAAAAGTACATGAAGTTGGAACAGATACTTATGTTGAATATGAAGCAGATGTGAGTGTTTGTTTTCACATAGATTATAATAATTTAATTCTATTTCTAGTATCAACATGTACCATGTGCATGTGCTTTTCATCCTAGTAAGTTAATCATTAAAGAATCTTTTAGTTTTGTCGAACATTTTACTTGAATATAACAAATTGACCATCGATGAGTGTAGATATCATCCTCATTCTTTTCTATGTCGCTTTCGAGAAAAGTTCATCGAGTTCAAAAATATTTGACCCGAACATATTGTAAACTGTGCTCATAATGATCGATTGCGTTTGAAAATTTGTACTTGTATGTAATCGAATATAACTACAACCAAATAGATTTTATCTCTATTTGTTGTGTTTTAACAAAAGTTAGATTTAATTCTGAATAGACAGAGTAAATAAAGTTCGATATTTTATTAAGAAGAACTTTTTTATCAGTTAGTTTTGTACCACTCTTTTAAATTTTGTTTCAACGAAACGTATTTCGCCTGTAGCATTACATATTTAGTCCATTGTTAAAGAGTTAGTTTTAAATTATCTTACATATTTCAAAGTGTTTTTCGTAAATTAGTTTTCTATATAAAAAGGTAAAGTTATATTTTGCTTTGAAATAAAGTCAGATAAATTCTTATTAGGGGTAGGACAGTTCGTAGTTTCAAGTTCGGATGAACTGGTCAAAAGAACTACCAGTTCAGCTCTTCTGAAAAGAACTGAAATGTTAGAACAGCTCAGTTCAAAGAACTGAACTGTCTGAAAACTAGTTTTTCGGAAATAAAAACAGATTTGAAACCGACCAGTTCCTCTGAAAGAACTGTTGATACAGTTCAGTTCTTTTCAAAGAACTGCTGACACAGTTCAGTTTCTTTCAAAAGAACTACTAAACAGTTTCCAAGAACGGACCTAACATGGAACTGTCCTACCCCTAATTCTAATAGTATAACTTGAAATGATTGATCATTGAATGTATTTCGTTCATGATGTCAGATGTAGGAACAATCACTAAAATCTATCTATTTCCGATTAGTATTATTCAATTAGGACAGATGTACTAGTTCGAACAGAAATAATATATATGCTACACCAACCTCTGTTCTATAGGATGTTATTTAGTTCTTAAATGTTGAAAAAAATCTTTATAGTTTTCACAACTAATTCTAAACAATCTGCTCTTTTGCATGAGAATCATTATCGTAGCTCGTTTTAAGATGAAATGGAAAACTGCATCCATAAAAAAACGGTAATTTCGTACTTCAGTTTTAATGATTATATGACACTTATTATACCCATAGTGAAATGAAGTATGAAAGATGATACTAAAAGATAATTATAATATTAGAGAATCATATGACTATAAAGATAATAATGTTCGTACTTAAGAAGACTTTTAATATCGTGATGTTGATAGTACTTGTAGTATTTATATTCTTCAGTTAGTGATGAAAGACAGAGTTTATGTGACAATTTATTATTTATGACAACTATTTATTCTTTTGAAAAATGATTTCCGGCATTAAGAAAAAGAAAAGTATATAATATTTTTATTCTTTAGTATCTCGAAAAATAATTATCATTACAAAATATTTTTCTTTAGATCACGATATATGTGCAATCAGTTATGATAATGGTAAAATTCGTCTCTATTCAACCTATAACGATATTCTCAAACTAGTCAAAGGTATGTATAATTAAACATTCATTATACCATGTCCTTGTAATTCAAAACATTCAAATGTTCTTTTTCTTATTGAAAAGAAAAACTAATTGAAAAAATTTTGACACATTTTAACATATAATGTTTGATTAGAATTTACATGTCATTCACAATGTATATTTGCTATTGCTTGGATAAGTGATCGATTATTATGTGCTACATCAGGTGATCAAGTAACAGTGATTTATGATATTGAAACAGGTAATGAAATTGATATATTACGTGGCCATACAATGAGTGTACGAAGTGTTAGTAAATTACATTGTAGTACACGTAAGTTTACAAAAATTTTATAGATCTAAAATAAATATAAATATAAAATTTAGATGTATTAGCAACAGGTGGCCGAGATTCAATTATTAATATTTATGATCGACGTTATTCGAAAAAACGTAAATGATTTATAAGCGTTGTTCTTTTTTTTATCTTTATACTTTTTTGTAGAAGGAGCTTTATATCCAATTAGTTCAATTGCTTGTGCACATATCAGTACAACGCCATTACAAAAATCAGCACAAGTAAGAGATAAAACTGATTCTTCGGATAAAAACGATTTCTTTTTTTTGTAGAAAGAAACACGTAGTGTAACGGCTGTAGAATTTCAAGATGAACATAATTTATATTCATGTGCTTGTGCTGATAGGTAACAGATTTATATATTAGACATATTTTATTTGATTATATTTTGATTAGTGCACTGAAAGTGTGGGATCTTCGTTATACATATTCACGTTTAAATACAAATCATATGCCTAAACCAAAACGAATGTTTTATGTACCGATAAATGATGTTAAATCAATAAATCGTCTTGCTGGTTTTTCCGATATGAAAATGGATTCGAATCGAATGACTCTTTTTGCTAATTGTACAAATAGTAAAATCTATCAATTTGATCTTCATGAAAATGCTTATTCATCTTCATCGAATATTCAATCTTACACAAGTCATCGTGTTGGATCTTTTAATATTAAATTAGCTATTAGTCCACATGATCAACTTCTATTAACAGGATCAAGTGATTTTAATTCATATATTTATCGAGTAAGTTTTTTTTTATAAAGGTCCTCTATTATTGAAACATTCTTATCTGTTTAGATTAATCAACCAACTATGGAACCATTGAAAATTGAACATAATTTCGAAGAAGTAACTGCCGTTGCTTATCATCCAACAAATCCATTTTCGGTATGATTTTTTTCTCGTATATTTTAATTATAAAACGTTCTGTTTTCTTTCTAGTTTATCACATGTTCAGATGATTTTCAAGTTCGTCTTTGGTCATTATCATTCGATAATGAAATTTCTACATCATCTTGTTCATTATCAAATATTCCTTCTATAAATAATCAATCCCATAATATAATTACACTTCTTCATCAACGTCAATATGGTTTAACAAATCGTAAAACAATTCTTTCATCTCTTTTTCATACAATTTCTCCACCATTACGTTCTTTATCAAGTGTACATAGACGAAAATCTTCTTTAACAAATTTAACTACTTATAATCAAACAAAATTAGGTAGTCGAAAACGAACTGTATCAGAAAATGATGAAAATCGTCGTGATAATACTGATGAACAAACATCGAAACGTTTATGTCGTTCATCTGAATGGATATTTGGTGATTCACAATTAACACTTTTTAAATCTATATCAACGATTGATAATCGAACATCAATTATTGATGAACAACAAAATACATTTTTATTATCAAAATCAGATGAATATTTATCAAATAATAGTAACAATAATAATAATAATCGACGTTATTCATCTGATAAACAACAAACAATTGATACATTATCAACCCTTGTTCTTTCTCAGTGAATACATATATTATTTCAGTCAAATAAATGTATATATATATACTACATTCTTATTCAATGTAAATAAGTCAGATTTTCCTTCATATATATATATACATATTTTTTTTCTTGTTTGAACATAAATAATTAAATTCGAACATATATATTTCTAGATCTAAATGTATATTTCATCTAAAATCGATACAACTGGTTTAAATAATAATCCCATTAATGATAGTCCATTTCGAATTGGTTCGAGTAATGTCGATTGGTGTGAACCTAACTATGCCGTTACAGAATATATCAGTGAATTTTGGAATACAGTATGTATCTTTTTCGAAAAAAAACTAAAATCTCTTTGTTTTGGCTATATCAAATATCTTCGTTTAAAAATATATATTATTTTGTTTTTTTTCTACTTGTCTTGGAATGAATTAGACTAAAATAACCCTGCTCAATTGATTACTTACTATATTTGTATTGCAGGCTAACATTATAAATGTGTGGATCAAAGGTAACTTTTCTACTTGTTTTAACTTCATTTTGGGAATGCTATTTTTACATTACATGAATGCATGATCATCCGTTTTATTATTTTTGCTTGCTATTTATAATTGATTAGCTCGGTGTATTTTTTTTTATCCAATAAGAACTATATTAGACAGAAAATGTGTGTCTATTTGTAGAAAAATTTTATCTGCTTTTATTTATCTACGTCTGTATATATTTATATATGTATTTATTATTTTAAAGGTATCCAATATATTCTTCTTTTTGGTTCCACCAATAATGATTATACTTTTTTCATCGTATTCAAAACGAGTTACAAATGGAATTACAATTCTTTGGTTATTATTAATTATTATCGGTATCGGTTCTGTTTATTTTCATGCAACACTTAGTTTGGTAGGTTTTTTGTTATAATAAAATTTGATTTGTCAATTTTGTTTTCGTAGGCTGGACAATTAGTTGATGAAATATCTATTCTCTGGGTAGTTATGGCAGGTTATACAATATTCTTACCTGCTATTTATTTTCCTCAATCACTACGTGCTCAACGGTAATTTTTTTTCTTTCAAATATCATATATCTGAACTCGAATGGAATAAACATATTATAGAGTTCTCTATACGTGGGGTTTAAACAATCGCCCACGACAGTAAGAGTAGCTATAGTAATTAATAGATAAGGAATGGCTGGTTATGATATGCATGATTTAAATATAATCAATCATTATTTTAAATTATGTTTATATGTTTATTTAGACATCGATTTATCTATAGTTGTATTGTACTGACCATCATTGTTACTTGTCTTTCCATTATTTATCCATACGCTAATGCATTTGCTCTAATGATTCTTGGTTTACCTTCAACTGCTTTTCTAGCTATACATCTTTCTAGGTATACACATAAAATATCTTCCATTATTTTAATTATCATTATTTTTTTTTAGATGTGACAATCGTCGTATTAAGAATCTTGGTATTCATTGTTTAGGTATGTGGGGTGTTGCTGTTACAATATGGATATGTGATCGAATGTTTTGCTCATTTTGGTTATCTATATCATTTCCTTATCTTCATGCATTTTGGCACGTATTAATTATATTTAGTAGTAACGAAGCTATTGTCGTATGTGCATATCTAGTTGTAAAATATCAATATCCTCAAGCGAATCTCATTTTACATGCCTGGCCAAATGAACAATGGGGTTGCTTTAGTTTACCATATTTGAAATTTCATGATGATGGCAGTTATTTATCATCAACATCGAATAATTTCGCAACGAAATCTATTGTTTAATACTTTTTATATTTCTATATTCATACACCTGAAGCATATTTTCTGTGATATGAAAGTATTTGCTTTCTCTTGACACCTAGCTAGATGACAGTCGTCTTTTGTTTTGAATTATTGTGTCCATTTTTTTAGTACTTCCTTCTATACTCATCTATTCTCGTCCATGAATTATCATTCCACATAAAGTTTTGCTTTTATGTAGTCCACTATTTAATTGTGAAATTAATTTTTTTATTATTTATGTAATAGAGTAAATTTTTTAAATATATATTGAGTATTATTAGACAATAATAAAAGAAAAACGACATCGAAATAATAATACATTTAATTTTAACCTACTGGGACAATGTTTAAAATTTGGTAATAGAATTTTTAAGTCTGTATTCATTCTGTACAACTATCAGGCAGTAGCAGTTTATTAATTAAAATTCAAGGGAAAACAAACTGATTTCCATACTAGAAATCAAGTAGAAATCACGAAAAATCACGAGGAATCAAGAGAAATCGAAGAAATCAAAAGGGTGTGGGTGTAAGTGTAGGTGGGTGTAGAGTGTGGGTATTAGGTGAATACAATATCTACAGGGCCACGGACACAGACATCCACCCGGTCACACCCACACATATCCCCAATTGATTTCCATACTAGAAATCACAAGAAATCATAGGAAATCACGAAAATGAAAATAGAAATCAAGAAATCAGTTTGTTCCCCCTTGTTAAAATTGTTATAAAAGTATCACATAACTTATTATATGTTGTGATTTTTATACAAAAATAAATTTATAAAAGACATTTGTTTTCAATATTCAAATAGTACATTTAGACACTTCTTTCTGTACTGGTTCTGTTTCATTATTTAAAATAACTGTTGGTCCACCTGTTAATTTATTTTCACGCTTCGTAATTATTTGATCTACATATGCAAGTACTGCTCGTATAAAATTAGCAAGATAAATTTCAGTATTTTCATTGGTTTTTGAACTTATTTCTATATATGGTAGTTGGTGTTTATCAGCATATGCTTTGATTGTTGTGTAAGAAACCGTACGTTCTGATTCTAAATCAGATTTTGTACCAACAAGAAATACAGGTATTTGTTCTGGACACAATTTGATAACTTCCTGAAGCCAATTATCTACACTAAGAAAACTCTCTTCATTAGTAATATCGAAACAAATCATTACACCATGTGCGGTACGATAAAATTGTGATACATAAGATTTAAAACGATCGTCATTAGGAAAATCCCATATATGTAATTGACAAAGTCTTTCATTAACCTCAATCAGTCGAATCTTAAAATCTATTTTAAAGAAAATAAATAATAAAAAATAGAAAATTCCGAACACCTACCAATAAAAGCAGTTGTTACGTAATCAGTTAAAAAATCATCATAAGTAAATCGTTTCAAAAGTGAAGTTTTTCTATCAAAAAAAGAAAATAAATAAGTTTTTATAAAAAGAATACATACCCAACTCCACTATCACCAAGAATTAACATTTTAAAAAAATATTCAAGTTCAAGACCAAGATTACAATTTTCAGACATTATCAAATTGTAAAGAATAAGTATGTTTCGTTTATATGTCAAACAAAAACCATGCTGATAAATTGTCGACGTGGATTTATAATTAATTGAATGACTCACAATGCTGAATCACTAGTGCATCATTTATAGATGTATTTTTAAAGAACGGAAGAAGTATCAGGTTTTTTTTGTGCTTTCTCTAGAATCACCTTTAAATGAGAGAACGATTATTTCTTTTATTTTCTAATTTATTAAGTTCGTTCTTAGACTACATTGCAATCATTTTCTTGTTTAAAAGTAAATTAATCAATTGGAATATAGAGAGCATGTCTCTATATATAAATAGCCTGACATTTTATTGAAATAAAATCATATATATATACAATAAATTTCTCTTATTTATATTATGTGTAATAATATGTTTTTTTTACATTAATATCGAATTCTTCGAGCACATCTGTTAGATCATTGAGTTTCAATGTATTATTTGTAGATGGTGTTGGTTTTTTCGCATCAACCGTATGTATTGCTTGATCAGTATTTTCTGGTTTTGCTTCGATTACGGTTGGTTGAGTGTTAGTAACAGGACGATTGTTTGATTTCTCTCGTAATTTTTGTAACTGAAAGCAACCATTAATAATTTCTTAAAATAATAACAAAACAAAACAAACCAAAAAAAAGTTTTTTTTTTCAGTAAAAACAAGAGCGTCATTTTTTTACCAGACATAAATTTTTGTACTGAAAGGGACATTAATTTTACACATCGTTCATCATCAGTTTGTAAAGCACTTTGCTGCATATAATATTTTGTTACTGTTTCCGGTATAACACTATTAAATTGATCAAGTGTTAAACTAAATTTATCTAGATCTTTTTCTTCAATCAATGGAAGAGAATCATCAATACTCTCTGCCATTTATCTGTAAATAAAGTCACATTAAATTCTCGTATTGTTTTTTTTTTAATTTATAACTAATAATGACTAGTAATATAAGAATGACAAATTGGATATTTGAAGTAGGATGGAACAAACGCATACACACACACACACAAAGACAGAAATACAATCGCTAGGCGTCTATATAGAGAGAAAAAAAGGTTTACAATAAATTGGGAATAGGAAAAAGTTCGTATTTGATCATTGACATTTTAAAGAACTAAGCATTTGTCAGCAAGGAAGAAGAGATGATACCATTGAATACCATGATAGACAAGGCCTGAGACCATTGAAATTGAATGAAATAAATTGAATTTATTACTAATAATACGATATTTAGCATCATCACGTGTTAAGAGTTCAATATCATCAGCGGTCTAAATAAAAGAATAAATTTGTCATATTCAATTTAGTATTTATATTTCAATATATACTTTAGCTGATTGTAAAAATTCAATATTATTTCGATCAAACATTAAATTAGTAACTAATGGATTGAGTACAAGACTATTTATTTCAGCAGCAGCTAATGCAACTATTAATGCAATACCCTATTTAAGGAAAAAAGATTATTAATTAAAAATAAAAATTTGTTTTTTCAAATACGAACTAAATTTTTTGCTTCTTTTGACCATGTATTAAATGGATGACGAAGTAAAAATGAGCCCAAACTAAGACCAGCGAAAACAGCTGATGATGAAAAATAGACCGTTGATAAATGTGATTGAACTGTAGCAAATTCTTGACGTGTTAACATGCGTTGAACAGCACGACCTAATTTTTCATAATAAATTAAAACCCAGAAATTCTATTTAAAAACTTTACCATGTACAGCAGTTATCCAGAAACTAATACCAAAACCACCTATAATTTATCAGATAAAAATCTATGAAAAGAGTAAAAGAAAATTTTACCAGCAACACCAAGTAAATGCAAAAATGAGATATTTGTTGATGATGGTACTGGTTTTGTTTGTGCAAATGCATATCCAACATAACCAACGGCTCCAAGAGATGTGAGAAACGATGGAGCCAAATACCTAAATATAAATTGATTAATTAACGAGTTGAAGTGAAAAGCTAGTGGGAATGTTTACCATGCTTGAGGCCATGTTTTTTTGTAGACCTCATGAACAGTATCCTCAATTTTACTAATTTGAGCACCCATTCTCGATTTTTCGTTTGAGTAAATAACAAAAAATTCTATAAAATATGAAAAATAATGTAATGCAATATTTCTCTAGGCCTTTTTTGTTCTTTCTCTATGGGTTACTTTAGCTTAAATGACAATACAAACAATAAATAACCCTTGGCGCCATTGTCCTTGTACTTTGATAGACGAATGAGATTTTTTGACTCTTTAAAATCGATTTAAATAAATTTATTTGATAGAAAAAAAAGACTTTGTAGGTATAAAATATTATTAAACTAAAAATTTCTCAAAATCATTATACATTAATTAAAATAATATATTTGATTTGATCAAGATTTTAACCAATAAGAATGAACCAACAAAGGACAAGGCAAGCATAATTGAGGGGTCAAGATGGTTTCAATTAATAAGATCATGTATCTTTGTTTTGATTACATCTAAAAATGATGGTTATCATTCACGAGCATATAGCACTATGCTACAATTTCTAATCCTATGAAAAAGTTCTGAATACGAAGACTAAACTGTCGATTAAAGCTGAACAAGTCAAGTCCTATTTGGCAAGGAATTTTTATATTTTTTCGGCATTGAATATTATGAAATTAATTTCTAAGATGGCTAAAACTATTTTATATTTAGTAAACGCTGTTAATTATGGTGTTTGATCCTCGAATGCTCAGCTTTCTAATATATAGATTTCTTCAAAAGTTAAGATATTCTCATAGGTGTTAAGAAGACTTGAACTATTGACTTATGTGCATAAATTAGTATTTTTACTCGTATAAAACCTGATTATTATCTACCCAATATCTTTTGGTGTTTGTATTGATTCAAACTCGAACTAAATCATTCAAAGATAACTGAAAGTATTATATAATACGTTTCATTAGCAATTTTTAGATAATTGTAATGTCTTCCTCACAATTGAAAGTAACTTTTCTCGGCCTTGGCTCTATGGGTAGTGCAATGGCTAGAAATATTCTTAAAAAAGGTTTTCAACTTACTATATGGAGTCGTACAATATCAAAAGCAGAAGTAAATTAATAAAAACAATTTCACAATTGTTTTCAGCGAGCGATTTTACTTATTAGGAATTCGTAAATGCAGGTGCACGTGTAGAAAAAAGTGCTCGTGAAGCTGTTGCCGATGCTGATATTATTGTGAGTTGTCTATTTGATGATAAATCATGTTTGGATACTGCTCAAGGTGATTATTTATTTATCTGAAATAAAACATGAATTCAATAAAAGAAACATTTTTTTAGGTGAAAATGGTTATCTAAAAGGAATAAAGAAAGGGGCAGTACATGTCAATACGACTACTATTGGTCCGAATATCGCCAGTCAACTTGAAAAATTACATGAAGAACATGGTGCTTACTATGTCACAGGAACTGTATGTTTTATTTTCGATAGAATTTAGTTACTATTTCGCCATTAGGTTCTTGGCCGTCCAGATGTTGCAAACGCAGGACAATTACGAAGTTTCTTAGGTGGTAAACATGAAGCAATTGAACGTGCTCGACCCGTAGTTGAAACATATTCTGGTGGTTCAATAATTGTTGTTGGTGAAAATCCAGCACATGCAAATGTAGTAAAACTATCAGCAAATATGGTTCTTGCTGCCAATATTTCTCTTTTCGGTCAAGTTTATGCATTTAATGAACGTTGGGGAATCGATAATGATGTTACTCATGAATTACTTAAAATTTTTTATTCACATCCAGGTTTATTAAAATATGAAGAAGCTGTACGCACTCGAAATTATGAAAAAGAAGAAGGACAAGGCTTCGCAGTAGAAGGAGGTTTAAAAGATATTAATACAATGTTAAATACTGGTGATCAAGTTGGTGTTCCACTTCCATTTTGTAGTACTATGAGAGAACAATTTGTCTCTGTACTTGGACATGATTTAAAAGATAAAGAATGGTCAGTTCTTGGTGACGCAGCAAGACTTAATGCTGGATTACCAATGCCATCTCAAAAAAAGAAATAATAAGACTTTTTTTTAATGATAGCGTAGTTTAAATTCTATTTTTTTTAAAGGCGATTTGTGAAACAAATATAAATCTATATTCATTAATCCATTTTTACTTTTTAATTATTAAAAAACATTAATATCAGTAATCGTACAACATCTTGAAAAAAATTCAGTCGGCGAATAAACATGTTTTTTTTGAAATAACAAGAATTTGAATTCATTTGAAGTTTTATAATGACGCAGTAAAATAACAAGCATTACTTAATAAATATTTTGTTGAAAGTAAAACTACATTAATCGAAACCTCTTTACAGGTGACCTGAATTAACGCTTTACTTGATAAAATCTTTATTGAAAACGAAACGAAATAATCAAACTATTGAATAAGAAAATGACAAGAAAGTTAACTTCTCTTTGCTTATCTAACCTCGAAACATTATTATTCGTACAACTATCTATTACAAAATAGAGTCAAAAACACTTTATGTTCATCTCATTCACATTTAAATAAAATATTATAATGATAATTTATGCTAAACTTTAATAACTATAATACTATCTTTGTTTTTTTTCATGAATATAAATTAGTATTCTTAATAATGATGAATATATTTATCTTACGCCTTATCCTTTGTTTTTGTAAGAAAAGGAAATATATTCAATATTATCTATTGAAGAAAAAAAAATTCTATGGGAATATTATTTTTCGATTTTCTATGCATTTATATCAAAGAAACATTATAATACTATAGAAAATAAGAAAATAGAACAAACCATATGGCCTACGAATAGTAATGGAATGTAAAGATAAACAAGTGAAAAATAATCTTTTATGACAAGAAACTAATGCGATTTTTATTCACTAGGCAATAAAATGTTCTTCGTTAAATCGACATACTTTTATCATTCTTATAGAAGATAAAGAAAAAAAAAGAATATATATATATATATATTCTTAAGATACTTTTTGAATACATACTATCAAGTTGTAGTTTTTTTTATTCTTCTTTAGAATGTGATAATTCAGTTATAGTTACATCTATGATTTTATCGAGGTCTTTAAATGTACGACAAAACGTGCGTACGAATTAAGTTGTTATTATTTCGATTATTTTTTTTTTCGCTTTCTTATTCCTTTTCTATCTTCGTTTATAAATCTCAATTTTTTCGTTATCACTCATAATTACGTTGTATTTAGTATAAATTATTATTTTGAAAATATAAATTTTGAAATACATCAAAATAAAAAAACTAAATCTTTTATTCTTTTCAAGGTTATCAAATAAACCAATGGCTGCTTACTATTTATCCAAAGACAAACAAGTGGAATTATCAAAAATAGCTCAAAGCATTGCTACACCTGGCAAAGGCATTTTAGCTGCTGATGAACCTGCAGGTAAATCTAAAATTTAATCTAATTTAAAACAAATATTTGTTTTCAGGTATTATCGAATCCCGTTTTGCTCCAATGAATATTGAAAACAATGAGGAAAATCGTCGTTATTATCGTCAGCTATTATTTCGAACGAAAGAATCTCGACAACATATAAGTGGAATTATATTGTGTCATGAAACATTTTATCATAAAACTGATGATGATGATACATCATTTCCACGTTTATTGACTGCAGCTGGTATTATACCGGGCATAACAGTTGATAGAGGATTAATTGTATTAGGTGGTACTGATAACGAAACAATAACTCAAGGTTTGTTAATATTAAAAAAAACTAATATTTGATGAATATTAAGTTTTTAAAAAAATATAGGTTTAGATGGCCTTGAAGAACGTTGTCGAGAATATAAAAAAAACGGTGCACAATTTGCTAAATGGCGTGCCGCATTAAAAATTGATAAAAATTGTCCATCACAATTAGCAATTAATGAAAATGCTTCGAAACTTGCACGATATGCTTCAATTTGTCAACAAGTATATTTATCAATTAAGATTGAAACAACTCGAATGTTAATTCTAATATTATATATTTAGTGTGGTCTTGTACCTATTGTTGAACCAGAAGTTTCATTAGATGGTGATCATGATCTTGAAGAATGTCAACGTGTAACTGAAAATGTTTTAGCAACAGTTTATAAAGCACTAAGTGATCATCATGTTTATCTTGAAGGTACACTTCTTAAACCAAATATAGTTACGCCTGGTAATATAATTCATATTTATTTGTACTTTTTAAACAAAAAAACTGTTTTTTCTAGGTAAAGATTGTACTAAAACATATTCAGTTGAACAAATAGCAGAAGCAACAGTAACTGCATTCCGTCGTACTGTACCAACTGCTGTTCCTGGAATTATGTTTCTTTCGGGTATGTTTGAATGGAATTGTTAATAATATAGTGTGTTTTTTATTAAGGTGGACATAATGAAGAAAATTCAACAGCTTATTTAAATGCTATTAATCGAGTTAATTTATATAAACCGTGGACACTTTCATTTAGTTATGGACGAGCATTACAAACATCTGTTTTACGTGCTTGGAAAGGTGATAAAAATAATAGTGAACAAGCTCGAAATGAATTTATTCGTTTAGCTAGAGTAAGCTGAGTTTAAAGATAAAAAAAAGATTTCTTAAATTTTATTTTTTAGCAAAATGGTTTGGCTTCATTAGGAAGATATGAACTATCAAATTAATATTTTATTATCTATAATACCATTTTTATTTATGATTTAGTAGAATGATAAAAACATTTTCTTATAAAAAAAAAGATTCATAAAACATGATTTTTAGTTCGTTTGTTTTTTTCTTCTTTTGTAGAATAGAATTTCGTAATTATTTATATCAATGAAATATATTCTTGTTACTGGTGGTGTTATTAGTGGTATTGGTAAAGGTATTATCTCATCAAGTATTGGGACAATACTTATTTCTTATGGATTTCGTGTAACATCAATTAAAGTAATTTAATTCATTATTTAGAAACACTCGTCATTGACTTTTTTTGTAGATTGATCCTTATATTAATATTGATGCTGGTACATTTTCACCATTTGAACATGGAGAAGTATTCGTACTTGATGATGGCGGGTAAATAATTAGTTTTCTATCAAATTTGATGAAGTTGAATATAATCATTAAATTATGTACATGTTCTTTTTTAATTCTAGTGAAGTCGATTTAGATTTGGGTAATTATGAACGATTTCTTGGTATTACATTACATCGTGATAATAATATAACAACTGGTAAAATTTATCAGTATGTTATTGATAGAGAACGACGTGGAGACTACCTTGGAAAAACTGTGCAAGGTTAAATATATTATATATATATATATATAATTAATTTTATCGCTATTTTATTGTATATAGTTGTACCCCATATAACCGATGCTATTCAAGAATGGGTTGAACGTGTTGCTCGGATATCCGTTGATGATGATACCGCGGAACCAGATATATGTATTATTGAAGTATGATGAAAACATTGTCTTTATATGTTATAAAGATTATTTTATATAGCTTGGTGGTACAGTTGGTGATATTGAAAGTATGTCATTTGTTGAAGCCTTTCGACAATTTCAATTTCGTGTAAAGAAAGAAAATTTTTGTGTTGTTCATGTCAGTCTTGTTCCACAAGTGTGTATTAAAAGAAATTTGTATATGTATTTTTCTGTGGCTTTATATGACTATAGCCAAATTCAACTCAAGAACATAAAACAAAACCAACTCAACATAGTGTAAAAGAACTTCGTGGTTACGGTTTAACACCTGATCTTGTTAGTACATAGTTATTTCTTTAATTTATGTAAAAAAAACTCAAGAACTTATCTAGATTGTTTGTCGATCTACAACACCAATGCCTTTATCTGTTAAAGAAAAAATCTCAATGTTTTGTCAAGTTGATAAAGATCATGTAAAATTGAAATGTTCTTGTTTTTTTTTCAAATTTATTATTGATATTTTTATTTTAAGGTTATTTGTATGCCTGATGTCAAAACATTGTATCGTGTTCCTATATTACTTGAAGAAAGTGGTGTCTACAATTTCCTATCAACGCGTCTCAATCTAATACAAAAATCTAGTTATGATGAATCGTTTATGATCAAGTGGCGTGATTTGATCGAAAGGTAAAAATGCTAATTCTAATGAAAACATTTAAAATACACAAAAAAAAAATACGACATATAATAACAAATGTAAACAAATAAAGAGTCTACCCTGTTGAGATAGTAGTTGTATTGGTAACATTAACTAATTGTACACTACCAACGAGACCTGCTGCACCAATACCGAGACCTAATCCCAAGCCCATTCCGACGATAATACCAGCTGCCAATAGACCAGTAATACCTAGTAATGTTTTGCCTATTGAAAGGGTTTGTGCTTTGGCAGATTGATAAGGTGTTGAATAAGGATATTGAATAAGTTGACCATAACCAGAAGGATTACTATAGGGATCCATATTGTATGAATATACTATGTACTTGAGTGTTTCTTCACTGTCAATAACTACTGATAAAAAAAATATAAGAAAAACGTCGTTCCGCTCGGTTTTTCTTTTTCGTATGCTGATAACGAAGAAGCAGAAGAAGAGGAAAAAGAAGTCAAAACATAACTATCGTATTCACGCTACGATGCGTAACCACTAAAACGAAAACAGAAAATCGTAATTATCGACCTTGAATATCTATGGATGATTCTATTAAAAGATTCTGTTTTTTTGTTATTAAATAGAAGTGAACGACAACTTGATGAAGTTGTTATTGCTCTTGTTGGAAAATATACGGCTTTAGAAGATGCTTATGCTTCCGTACTTAAAGCACTCAATCATGCTGCACTATTCTGTAATAGAAAATTAAAAATACGAGTAAGAATATTGATTTCTATGTGAATAGAAACATAAAATACATTTTAGTTTGTTGATTCAACAGATTTAGAAGAAAATACAAAAAAAGAAGATCCAGTTAAATATCACGAAGCATGGCAACAACTTTGTAGCGCACAGTGAATGAGTATAATCATATAGAATTTATTCATAACTTGGGCGATTTTTTTCTTTATGTAAGTGGTGTAATTGTACCTGGTGGATTTGGTTCACGTGGTATTGAAGGTAAAATAGCAGCTATTGAATGGGCACGAAAACAATCGAAACCATTTCTTGGCATATGTCTTGGTCTACAATGTGCTGCTATTGAATTTGCAAGACATGTTTTAAATTATCATGATGCAACATCTTCAGAATTTGATACAACGAATCATCAAGTGGTATGTTTTGTTTAATTTTTAAATGAAACTAATTTGAATAAATAGATTATTGAAATGCCTGAACATAACACAGGAAATATGGGTGGTAAATAAGCAATTATCTATTGCATTTTTATTTATTTTTTGTTATTTAAAAGGTACAATGAGATTAGGACGTCGAACAACTCATTTTGTAACAGATGATAGTATTATTAGTATGTAGTTTATTGTAAAAATAAAAATATGAATTTTTCTTTTATAGAAAAACTTTATGGAAATGTTGATTCAATCGATGAACGTCATCGTCATCGATATGAAGTTAATCCACGATATATTGAAGAATTTGAAAAGGCTGGAATGAAATTTGTTGGAAAAAGTGATGATAATCAACGAATGGAAATACTTGAACTTGATAATCATCCGTATTTCGTTGGTGTTCAATATCATCCAGAATATATTTCACGTCCATTAAAACCCTCAGCTCCATATTTAGGACTTATTTGGGTAATATTGATTTATATTAATATAGAAATTTTTTTTACGTTTTCATTTATTATAGGCTGCATGTGGTGAATTAAAAAATGTATTAATGCATGTTACAAAAGAACAAATGGCAACAACTGATAGTACAAGAAAATCTTCAGGAACATTTTCTCATAAGAATTTATTTCGTCATACATAATCTGAATTTATTATTTTGCTTTGTCTCTTTGAAAACTCAGGATATTCGCTTTTTTTTGTTTTTTTTGGATCTGCTTATTAAACTTTTGTTCGGATAAAAATAAGAAATGATCTATATGAAAATAACTTTTGAAATATTATATCGATGTTTTATTATTGAATATGTAAAAGCATAAATAAATTTTATGAGGAAAACTATTGAAATTTTCGATAAATATCAGCAAAAATTAATAATTTGATATTTCAAAGACGCGTTTTTCTTTTCTTATTTCTAACTCATTCAATAGAAAAAATGATGCGTTCTAATTCTATGGTGAGACAAGCTTGATCAATTATGAATAATATCAATAGATAGATTCTCTCTAGATAATAATAATAATTCAATTGTTATCTTCTTATATATATTAACTTAGGCGAAAACAAACCATTGATATTCATGCGCATAAAACTTTTATTCGTACATCAAGTAAGTATATCTGAAATCGTTTCTGTTGGTTAATTTATTTAAGTATTACTATATGGTTGGTAGTTGACATCGAACGAATGAAAAGTATCGAGACAAAAATGAGTCATTCATCAGAATATGCTTCTTCATCGTTACCCTGTATTTTCCTGGCAGAATAAACAAATCGCAACTGCTTATAAATTCTCTCGTATTCTTTCTAGTTGCTTACAAATTCAATTTCAAACTTATCGAACTATGTCTAGTGGAAATGAAAAATTTGATTATGATTATTTTGTAATTGGAGGTGGATCAGGAGGTGTTCGTTCTAGTCGAATAGCTAGTAAACTAGGTGCTCGTGTTGCTTTAGCTGAAGAAAAGAAATTAGGTAAAACAAAAAGACAAGCTTGATTTATTATACATATCTATATATTATTCTCTTAGGTGGTACATGTGTTAATGTTGGTTGTATACCAAAGAAATTATTTTGCTATGCATCACATTTTCGTGAATTATTTCATGACGCACATAGTTATGGATGGCCAAAAATCGATATGAAGTTAGAAGATCATAATTGGAAAAAATTTATTGAAAGTAAAAATGCTGAAATTCAACGACTTAATGATGCTTATGAAAAAACTGAAAAGGATGCTAATGTTAAAGTACTCAAAGGACATGCAACATTAAAAGATAAACATACAGTTATTGTTAATGGTAAAGAATATACATCGAAATATATACTTCTTGCTGTTGGAGGTTAGAGTTTTTTTAAGTTTGAAAAGAATCTATGTTCTTGGTTGCTTTTAGGTCATCCGGTAATACCAAAAATTGAAGGACATGAACATATAATTACATCTGATGATGCATTTTTCCTTGAAAATTTACCAAAAAAAGTTACCATCGTTGGTAAGATTTTATAACGATCAATTTTGTTCATCAATTAATAATTTTGATGTTTAGGTGGTGGTTATATTGCATTGGAATTCGCTTGTATTTTCCATGGATTTGGTTGTGAAGTATCATTAATTTTACGTGGAAAAACAATTTTACGCAGTTTTGATGAAGGTTTGAAATCATACGATAATAATAAGATTTATTCATAACAGAAACATAAGAGTGAAGTATTTCCTTGACAAGAAGAATTGGATAGCATAAATTTCGTTGTACACGTAAAACGTTAGCCAAAAGATGCTTACTCAATCCAGACATAAACATCACCCTCACCTAGTGCTGTATGTTATGAAATAACTGTTGATTATGACTAAGAGAAAGAAGACAAACTTTTATAGAGCTTTGCGTGTTTCGTTTACTCAGGAGATAAAAAAAAGTAATTAAAATAGAACTCATAATAGATATCAACAAATTGTTCTTTATTTTTACTACTATTCCTTTATTTTTATTTCGTTTGGTTAAACTACTTGAAAAGAATTTAAAGAGCTGATTTTGTTACTAAAACTTACGCATTTTTTCTTGATTGTAATATAATAATAACTATTTTTTAACTATCAAATGTTATAATAACGAATAGTTAATGCTACCTGATTTTGGAAAAGTCAAAATCTGATTATTATTATTATTATTGCATGTTTATGTTATTCTTTACGTACTTCCTCATTGAAAAATAATCAGTGCTTAGACTGTTTTACGTTTGCATGAGTACTTGTTAATAACTGAAATAAAAACAAAACGAAATATTTTCAAGAAATGACGGGAATTTAAAATAAAAAATAAGAAGACGAATTGCAATGACTTAACAATCACCATTCATAATACTTTTTCACATGTGATCAACATACAGAAAAAACCTCACGCGTCTGCTCCATAAGCTGATTGTATAAGAATTTGTTTGTAGATCGTAAGATAATACCACCCATTAGAATTTTCTCTTAATGTGTCTTATATGATAAAGAGTTGAGTTAGTAGAAAAAATAATTATAAAATCTAGTACGGTTTATAAGAACGTTTTAGAAAGATAATCAAATACAAGTCACTTTCCATATGTCACATTCGTAAAGGATTATATCCAGAAGCATTTATGGAAATAAATATAATATTTTTCTCTTCTATGATTTAGATGTTCGATCAAAATTGACTGATGAATTGAAAAAGAATGGCATTAACTTTCGATTTGAAACTGAAATTGAAAGTGTTGAAAAATTATCTGACGAGGCTTTTCGTGTTAAATTTAAGAATGATAAAACAACAATTGATACAAATCTTGTTATGTTTGCTATTGGTCGTAAACCACAAATAGAAAATTTAGGTTTAGATATTGTTGGTGTTAAAACCGATGATAAAGATGTTATTCAAGTTGACGATTATTCTCAAACAAATATTCCAAATATCTATGCGGTATATTTTAGAATTTAAGTCATTTTTAATTCGAAATTTAAATTTTAGGTTGGTGATTGTACAGATCGTACAGCTTTAACACCTGTTGCTATACAAGAAGGTCATTATTTAGCAAATATGCTTTTTAAAAATGAACAACCACGAAAAGTTGATTATGCTACTGTTGGTACAACTGTATTTAGTGAACCAGCTATTGGTACATGTGGTGTAACTGAACAACAAGCTATAGAAAAATATGGACCTGATGGTTATGATGTATATGAATCAACATTTAAACCAATGTTTGTTCAATTACCTAAACGTGATCGAAAATCTTATGTGAAATTAATTGTTGAAAAAGATAGTCAACGTGTTGTTGGTATTCATATAATGGATCATGCTGCACCTGAAATTATTCAAATGTGTTCAGTTGCTATACGTGCTGGAGCAACGAAAGAATTATTTGATCATTCAATTGGTATACATCCAACTAGTGCAGAAGAAATTGTTCAAATAAGAGAAAAAAGAGAAAAGAAAAAGGAATAATTTAAATTAACATCTTTCTATAAAAGTTCATATATTTCAGCTTGACTTTATTATTCTTTCATTTTTAGTAAATAAACATAGTATTATCGAATATTTTATCATAAACAATCTAATTATATTTTACGTTTTCGTCTATCTTATTCACATAGTTATTTTTCATAGAAAATCTAAAATATTTTTTATAGATAACGACTTTTGAAATTATCTAATGAAGTTTAGACATGAACAAAATTCATTCTGTTGAGTCTATCAATCAACAAATCATGTGTGAAGATAGATTAAATAATAAATTTTATTTGGCAAAACATTTTCGTCATTCTATTTATTTAATACTCATTTTTTTTACTTTGAAATTATATTTAAATAATTATTATTCATAAGTAAAAAGTATAAGACAGTATGCAGTATGGTTACAGAGCACGTATTTCTTTGATTCATTCTTTGTTCTTTGTCTTTCCGCCCAAAACCATTCAACAATTATCTTTAGATCGTGACAAACGACAGCAATGTCTACGATAACTAGCAATAGCTAACTATTCGCGTGTCACCTAATGCATATACACAAAGAGAGGGCGAGAGAGAGAGAGAGAGAGAGAAAGACGATGCAAAGTGACGGCGAACTTTGCGTGTCTACATACATATTCGATGTTTCGACGAGTATAAAACCATCCGTCAACAATTACTTTTTCGTGCATGAATATATATTTATATATATATATATATATAGAGTTTTATATTCTTGTAATTTTCATTTGCTGACTAAACAAATTGTCATCTATTTTGGAATATATTTACAATAAAATCGAATGTTTTCATGCATATCTAAATCGTCAATGACCACATTATTCACAGATTGTATTCAATAGACAATAAAAAAAAAGAAAAGAAATTTCTAATTTGACAATGCCTTAGAGAATTGAACGTGACTTGTTTGTTAAAAATTTGTCCATATCATTAGCCTTTCTTTTTTCTCTCATCTGTGATGCAACGTGCTATAGCTACTAAATCTTCAAATGTTGATTCCAAACACGTCTACATATTAATACTTGCTCTTCTTTACTCTGCACTCTATGTTGCTCAGTCAACTTTCTTCTTCTTCTTCTTCTTCTTCTTCTTCGTCTTCTCTTGTGTATATGTGAATGGGGATCACGCACATGCGAACGAGCAAGAGCTTCGAAATCAAATTCTGTTTGAGCACGCTATCACCATCACAGCACGTACACGGATATGTCCGCGCGCGCGAGCATTCGTATGATTACAGCGGTGCGTGCAAGCACGCATTCACACACGCACACATAGAGAGGAACAAGAGAGGGAGAGGGAGAGAGAGAGACGATGAAATATAGAGAAGCAAGTTCTTTCCATTCACTCATCATCATACTCAAGAGAGAGACTACGTTTGTTCATTGATTAATTCAAAGATGTACCGATTGAATCGACAACACTGTTATTTATGTGATCTACCTCGTACACCTTGGGCTATGATTTATGATTTTTCCGAGACTGTTTGTCGTGGTTGTGTTAATTATGAAGGTAAACATATCTTTTTTGTCTTAATACAAAATCTATGATAAATTCTTAGGTGCTGATCGTATTGAAACAATTATTGAAAATGCTCGTATACTTCGACGTACATCATTAATGGATCGATCTAATAATCTTACACCTTCAAAATCATTTTTACCACCTCCATCATCGTTTCTTTCAAATAACAATATACATTATCCATATAAATCACTATCTAATGGACATCATCGTACATCAACATCATTTATTTCTCGTCCTACACATTCAACTTCATCATCACCACCAAATGAAACAATTTCATCTCAAGAACCTGATGATCTTTCATTACCTGAATTAGTTAAAGATAGTTTACGTCTTTTAACATCATCAACTCCATTTGATATTCGTCTTAAACGTGATTCAACTATTCAAGCTCGTTTATTTCTATTTGATTCTCATCAACGACATACATCTACAGGTGGTTCAAATGAATATGAATTACGTATATTTAGTGAATATCCAATTGGTTCAAGTAATGTTCACGCAAATATAACTTCTCTATTTCGACAGATGAATTCCGATGTTAAACAAACATCATCATCAAATGAAGATCATCAATCAATAAAAAATCCTTATAAAGCTCTTGAATATCGAATAAAATCTACAACATTAGATGAAACAACAAATAATTGGCATTTATTAAATGATTTACTTCATGAACGTGCACGTTCATTTAAAGAATTACCGAATAAAAATCTTTTACCAGAAATTCATCTTGATCCAAAACATATTAAATTACCATCTGTTCGTCATTCAATACCAAAACGTAAATATAATGATATTGATATTAGTTGTATTAATAAATATCGTTCATCAAAACGTTTACGACTTCCTCACCAACAAATCAATGAAATAATACCAACATCAATGCCATTAATAATTCTTCAATGTAGTGAATGTCATCAAGCACTTGAAGATACACATTTTGTTCAATGTCCATCGACATCTGAACATCGTTATTGTTTTCCATGTTGTAAAAATTTTATTAAAAGACAAACAGGTGAAAAAGAAATTTATTGTCCAAGTGGTCTAAAATGTCCATTAGTTGGTTCAACAAATATACCATGGGCATTTATGCAAACTGAAATTGAAACAATTCTTAATACAAGATCTCCATCACCTCAAAAAACCAATTCACCGTCATCATCATCAACATTAACTGTTAAACAAGAAGCTGAAAATTAAAAAAAAGAAAAGAAAAGGAACATGCTTTGTATTTTTATTTAATATGTTTTTTTTTGATTGCAAGAGTATATTAAAATAGAATGTCTTTGTTTTTATTCTAACATCCACGTAAATCCAATTCATGATGCATTTGAACTATAGCACAACAACAACATCCACAACACTGTACAGCTAAGCAATCAGTACATACTGAGCCCTAGTCAAGAAGATGAATTAAATTATTTTTCTTTGTGGTAATATAACAAACTTTTATTCGAAACATAGTGCGCATTTTAGTACGTAATGACCATAGTGTCATTGGCCAGCAGCATGAAATACAACTTTCACCTGCACGATGATAGACATGATATGTTGCATATGGACAAGCCCAACATACTAAGCAACCTAAAATAACAAAATTGAATAGACACATTCTTACTCTATTTTACTTACAAAGATTTCTATTTGTACAACAATCACAAAATTTTTGTTTCCATACGTTTTCATACCCCCAAATATCGAAGCCTGGTCTCGTTTGTACCACAATTCTGTTAAGAAAAATGTTTTATATGTTGATTTGTTTTGTAATTACTCACGGCGGAGGTAGAACGTTCATTTGTCAACTTCAGTATAGTCGTATGCAGCGTTGAAGTGTAATCTAACCGTGATCACGTTTGTTATTGCTTCTAAGGAACGAAACAACAACGATCAAATCCATTAACGATGTATTGATGCACTTTAAACGAATATTATTTAAGTGTCAAATTGTATTTATTCAAACAAAAGAAATGATTCTCAAACTAACATCTGAAGGTTTTTTCTGTCATTTCATTCAAAAAATATGCATTGTATTTTGAAATGAAACAGATCGTACAATGAAATGTTTAATGTTGTCATCGTCGTCATGAATTTAACAATCCGCCTTTACTTCACATTTGAAAAACATTCTTCAATGTTCGGGATCGATTTTTAGGTGTGGTTGACTTTTTTTTCTGTCTCATTGTGCTTTAGGGGAATATTTTTTAGATTCGAATACTTTACTCATCAGTTGCTAAGATAATAATTTTTCGTACAATAAAAATAAATACAAACTTATGTATAAACAACTATGTCACTTCCGAATATTTCATTTATTAAGAAACAGATTTTACATGATAAAATTAAGTAAAAATATAATTTAATATTAAATAACATATCTATAATAAAATTCACTAACATAAATACATTTGTACACAGAAAACAACTTTCTTAATTATGTATTGTTTGTAATTATGTATAGCTCCTTACAATTATGTTTCGTGTCTCAATTTGATCAGGAATTTCATGAAAATTAAGTTCATCATCTATTTGTGTTGCAACACAGCCACCACAGCAACATGACAGGAGACAGTCTTGGGTTACATTACCCTAAAACAGCAGATCATATAAATGAAAATATAGAAACGAAATATATATTTATTTACTCGAATACGAAAAGCGGTTCGAACTTTTGTACGTAATGCCATCAATGCAAATGGATTACATATGCCGATACAAAAACGTTCACCTGTACGATCGATTAATTTAGCTGTATAGCATGGAGTACAGAAATAAGCAAAAGCCGCTGTAAAAAAAATGTCATAAAATAAAAAATAATTCACTTTAAAATTAAATCTATACATCGCGGACATTCTTTAAATGAATTGAACAATGATCGACGCCAATTATAAGGAAATGCAAAAAGATAACTTAAATCACGTGGTTGAACATTAATTGTCTGACTTCTATTATAGTTTTTTTAAAATTAAATAAATAATAGATTAAAAAAAATAAACATCTGTACTGTGATTTTGTCATTGGTTCTCGGTGTGTGTGTATATATTGATGTAGTAGATTGTTGAATTGATTGTATTATTTGAATGTTACTCTTTCAAATAAATAAATGAATGAATGAATGAACGCAGGCAAAATTGTTGTCAAGGTAGTAACATATACAATTTGTTAGTTATTTTAATCGAACAGCTGAAGGTAAAAATAGTTAAAAGAGAATGAAAAAAAAAGACTCAACGAAAAAGAAAACTGAGCTTGTTTGTTTTAGGAATACAGTTCTGCACATTAGCATGCAAAACAATCGTTTAGATTTTTGGCATGCGCGTTACATGACATAAACGAAAGAAGAAGAAGAAGAAAGAATCAACTTTTTGTAACTATGGAAAAAGTTATGAATAGAATAATTACATCGATCAACAACAATATCATATTTCTCATTTTTGACCCTAAATGAAAAGAAAACGAATGTAATATCTATATAAATGAGTTCATTCTTTTTTTATTTATAGTTGTATAAGATTATACAGACATTTTTTGAAATAAAAAAAAAACTTGGAATGTTCAAAAATGAAATATATGTTTGTGTTAGTTTTAATAGTCGCCATTATTTTGAGAACGATCATTTCGAGGATAAGTTTTTCTTTGTTTTCCTTTAGTATCCCATAATCCTTGTGATTCGAGTTCATTTGATAGTTGTGTCGCTACACATGCTCCACAACAAGCTGATGCCCAATAATCACCACAGCATGAACCCTACAAAATTATATAAAAATCTTGTTTTTCTCTTTCACGGAATATATCTACATACTTCAATACGTCTTGCTGTTCGCAATTTTGTTCGAAAATATGATAACGAACCAGGACAGCAACCAATAATAGATGATTCACCTAAAGTTTTAGCCAATTTGCAACCTATGATACATGGACAAAAACATGCTCCACAGCCTAAATTTATAAAATCATAACGATAAAATTGTTTATACGATATAAATATATGATATTACATCGACCACATGGTTTACATGCGAATAAGTCTGCACGCCATTGATTTTCAAAATTCCATACATTGTATGTGTCATATTGTTGTTTTACAACTGATGGATGAGATGATTGATTACTAAATGAAAATACGATAATAAAAATTTCAAAAAAAATTTTCTATATAACTTACGGTCCTCGGCTCATATTTACTATACTTAGCTGGTTGTATTATTGTGTGTGAGAATGTAATCTACAAGAAAGTTCGACAAGTTGACTTTCAGAATTGTTTCTCTCTTTTTACTTCTATCGAATCTAAGCAATAATATCATTGTTCAATTCTCTTTTATCGATGATTTTTTTTCTTTCTTCTCTCTCTCTCTTTCTCTCATTCACTCCTACTTTCAATTTTTTTTCTTTTTTTTTTACATTGGCTTATGACAAAGAAAAAAAAATGGTTCTCTCTAATGTGAATTTAAGTATGTGCGTGTGTATTTAGCAACGCAAAATGGTCGATGCGTGATTTAAAAAACTTAGTTATGTTGAAATAATAATTGAAAACAACAATACAAAAACATACGTTTCTATATGTTGTATTGGATTATCTAAAAACTTGACAACAGTAAAAACAAAGAATTTGTTTTGTTTTAATTAGAAATTTTCCGTTAAGAACATGACGGATTAAGAGATTTATATTTCAAAATATAGAAAAAAGTACGAAAAGAAAGGTAAATTAATAGTAATCAAATATATTTGAGAATAGTTAAAAAAGTGTAGAAAATATTTCAAGGTTTCTTCGCAAAATTTTCATTATAAAATGAGTGAAAACTTGAAAGATATTCAATAAATTTGATAATAAAAAAAAAAGAATAAATTTCATCATAGAGATTCAATGAGTCATATTCTTATTAAATGAGACGAAAATGATTTTTAGATATTGATATATTTGATCGACAATCTTATTTATGTTATAATCAAGATTGACACAAGGAGAAAAGAAAATATTTATTCTTTTTTAATTGAGAATTTTAGTTGAATGCCCTCGGACTATTGCTTCTTACAGTGAAGTCATAAAATTTTATTTCTAAACTCTCAAACTCATACTGAATATATAGAGAAATTGTATTTCTTTTTTTTCTCATACGCAGTAAAGAATTGGAACTTATTATACAAACAATAACAGTTGAAAAGGTAAAAAAATTTATCATTGATATGCTTCATATTAAAAAAAAAATGTTTGACTAATAACATATCTGCTTCTTATCATACATTAAAGAAGGTATAGCATATATAGGAAATTGACGGAGACCTTTTTTTTCTCTTCTGATTTAATGTCAATAAATTAATAATTCACGTTCAAAATAAAATTTTTAATAGGCAATTGACAAGTTTAACCAGAGATCTAAAATAAGTTTTCAATTCCCTTATTATTTAGAAATAAACAAGCAGAAATATATAAATGGACTGAACAATATTTTAGATAAACTACAAAATTGAATATATTAAATTTTACTTCAACAATTTAATCGATTCAATAATATAAATATAATACATTATTATTCATCATATTAAGTTTTGACTATATGTACACAAACAAAACAGTATGTTGGTTACTAACGGATCGAAACAACCATTAGTATTATTTTTCCTTCAAACGACAACATAATACAGTAAATGTGAAAATTACTCAATTGAAATTAATTCAGTGTTTATTTAATGATCTAAAGTGAATATATTCTTACTGATAGTGTTAGAACTCATTTCTGGACATATGAAAATATAGTATACATAATTCTACGATGAATTCGACAAATCCTTCTATGAATAGACAATAAGAAAATTTCCTTATTGATTATATAATGATATTCTATAAATAAATATATTCGTTAATTATTTATTAAAATGAAGCTTAATATTTATCATAATTTGAATGTTTCTCAAAACACGATTACCATTAGGAAATATGCCTCGTAATACAAGAGAGAGCACGTATTTTTTTAAAATAATTAATGAGTGATATAAATAAAAAGTAGAATATTTATTTTTCTAATATATTGTGCAATATAAGAGGATTTATGTCCATTATTTTCGAGGGAACAAAAAAGAAATTTAGCTCGTTTACTATATTCCGAGCTTACATATATTATTGTATTCTTGAGTAATATTTCATTTATTGCGACGATATTATTCTTGTGATATATATCCCAATAAATCTGTTTTAATGATTTGTTAATAGCCTAACATATATATTTAATTAGAGTCTCAACCAAATAATTAGAATGAATCAATAAGATTGATGTGAATTCTATTATTTTTCTAATTAGTTTTTTGCTTGGAATATTGTATATAATAAATATGTTATTTTTAAATATATTATCATATAGATTTGGTATTTCTGTTGATTAGTTTTTTGTTTTTTCATGATATACATATGGGATAATGCGTTGCTCTTAAATGTTAATATCTTCATTTTTAGACTCAATATATTTTCTAAATAGAAAAAGAAATGTGTGTTAATGATTGATTTATTATTTTTTGTTTTTCTCTAAAGAAAATCTTCATTAGTAGAAAATGTTTTTTAAATACTTATTAAAATTCTGAATGCATTTATAGAAAATTACGGAAGAGAAAAGAAAAAACAAACAAACAAACAACATGTAAAAAAAGAAAAAACAAAACTGTCGAAGTTAGTTTCTATTGTGTACAAGTATAAGAATCAAAATCAAGATTAAATCACACAAAAATACCATCATCACGATAGCGATCATCATCGCGATCATCATTAACAATTGTATTATCATCGTTTCTATAATCCATAGATATTCTATCAAGACTACGTCTATCTCGATCATCATCATTTGTAAGAAATTCATTATTGTCATCTATATTATCTCGAAAAGTGTCTCGTTCATTATCATTTGAATCCATATAACGATCATGATAATCAATTTCATCAATAGCATTCATTTCACGCCAATGATGATCAGTTGGTGAACTTGCACGACTTAAAGGTTCAACATTTGTTAATAAATGATTGTCAACAATAACACTATTTTCTCTACTACGATGTGTATCAAGTAAATTTTGTCGATTCATATCAATTAAATTATCATCTTTTGGATAAGGCGAATATTCGCGACGTATTTCACGATAATGTTCACGTTCACGAAGATCACGTTCAGGAGAATAATTACCGCGTTGATTCATTTTCATCATTTGTCGATCAATTAAATAGAATGGTTCTTGTGATGTATAAAAATCTAAACCATTTAATTTAGTTGCAGTTTGAAAACTTGAACGACGTTGGATTGTTAAGGGATGTAAATTAGATTCATCACGTTGTTTTTGTTGTTGTTGTAATTGTAGTTGTTGTTGATCATGAGTAGCATATGCAGCAAATAGAGGACGAGTACGATTTTGTGGTAATGTTTTTATTGTTGCTGTTGCTGAAGGTCCAGTTGTATTTGTTGAACCAAGTAATTGATCAAGATCAGTTTCTTTTAATGTATTTCTTCGTGCTGATACAAATTCTTCTTCAGGTGTATATATACTTCGTAAGGGAGGATTATTACCATATGATTTCGAGGTTTCAGAAGATACTAAATAATCTTTCGAGCGATAAGGACGGACAGGATATGTTGTTCCATTGCCATTCTGTTTAAGATGTACTAGAAAAACAAAATTATATTTAGAATATCTAAAGTGATAAGTTATTAACTTGAAAATAAGTCTAGGCAAATGTTGATTTATCTATCAACAAGGTCTTTTACGTTGTCTTTGATAAACATTAACTATGATTAATGATTTATATAGAAAACGAATGAGTTAATGACCTTCCTTGCAACAACTGATATAGGTATCATACACAAATATCTCAACACTAATCTATTATATACAATTTAATTAGAAGATTTTTCATATGAAAATTGCGATATCATTTGATTGATGCAAATAATAATAAAAGCATATGCTACTTAATTCATATCTCATTCTAAACATTATGTTGTTCCTTCAGGCATTATATAAAGATCTTCAAATAAAAGAGAAGCTTGTATCTAATATACTGTCAGATGAAATCATATTCAAATTTTTCGCTTGTCATAAAGATTCACATATATCTTTACCTGAAGAATGTTTGCCATTAGAATTAGCATGTGTATTTGAATTATGATTTTGATAAGTAAGACCTACGAGAAACAAAAAAAACAGAATTAACAATTTAATATTAATCATTAATTACATACTGTCAAAATTGCCTTTCGTTTTTCTTTTATATAACGATCGACGTATTTGATGGCAACAACAACAAATAATTAATAATGAAACAAGACACGCACCAATAATACATATAGCCATATAAGGCCAGTAAAGTCGCGTTTTTTCTGCAAGTGTTTCAGCTAAATAAATTTTTTATGAAATGAGTTTATTTAAAAAATGTCTATACCTTTTGGTTTTCCCACTGTAATTGGATAACTTCGATCAAAATTATCACCGTATTTATTCTTTGTGAATACACGAAAATCATGATGTTGTTCAGGTTTAAGCTCAGGAAGGATAAATGCACAATTACCTAGAAAAATAAAAATGTTGTTTTTATTAAAATATTATTTTATTTAACCTCTTAATCGTCCATGTTCAGAAAAAGAACCATTTTCTTGTCGTTTAAACATATAACAAAAGAAATCTTCATCACCTTGATGAAATCCAGCCACACAATTAACTGTTAAAGTGGTATTTACATATGTATAAGTACATGACTTAACAGGATCAGGTATACCTTAAATAGATAATTAGATTTTTTAATTTTATTTTGCATATTTACCTCCCATAATCATATTAACATGACACTCAGCAAATAAATTAGGTTCGTTTTGTGCTCGACAAGTTGCTTGTCCAAAATCTTGAATTTGTTTTGGTATAACTGTTATATAGCTTGCAGTTTGATTTAAATAATATCCCGAACGTTCAATTCCATTTGGTAAAATCCATGTAAAATTTAATTTTGATGGATTAGCATCATTCATAAAACAAGTTAAATTTATTGGACGATGGATACCAGTAAAGAATTGAAGTGGAAATTGAATTTTATGTGAACATGTTGGACCATCTATGGAATAATAAAAAATAAACACATTAAAACTCTTCTATTATTATTGCTTTTTCTTTTTCTACTCTAATGATAGATTGATTTGTTGACATGTTAGCATGCGCTCGAATGACATCCGCCAGACGTCCATACATATATGACAAGATTAACCGAAACTAACCTATGCATGTATTTAAAGCTAAACATTAACCTATTCAATTCAGCTGCAACTGACAAGAAAACATAACGTTCATTATTTATTCATTCACGAACAAATATCCGGTTTGACTATGTACTTTCTTAATATTCAAGAAAACATTCGATTTCCATACATAGAATAAATCATACAACTGTTATTGTTCAACTACTTAACCTTACGTAGAAATAATTCTTGATATTCCTATCTCTCTTCTTTTTTTTTTGTCTTTTAAATGTCAGCAATCAAACAATACCATAGACATGATAATTTCTTGTTTGCCCTTTTATAACTTCTTATTCTCAAGCATCTCTTTCAAATGAAGAATTAAAGGTAAATGAGCCTTAACATCTATATTTTAATAAATAGCTTACTTATATCTTGTAGTTATGATGTGTTTTTTAGATGAATAATATTCTATGATAATGATAGTAATGGTTAGAAAGTGTAAGTATTAACGATAAAGACTGTTGCAAATAATAAGAGAAAAGCATGAAAGGAGAAAAGAAGAAGAAGAAGGAGAAGAGGAGAGAACATCTTACCATCTTTTCTTTTCTCGCTTTCTCTGGCGTGTACTGATGTTGAGAAAGAAAAGTAGCAGTAAAGCACGACACATAATCTCTCATTTTTCTCGTAATAGATAGTTCAAAGATGTGCTACACACAAATATATACATACACACACGCACATACATATATACATATAAATGTGTGTATATATTGAGGCTAATAACACAGAAGTTTAGGTGATATCAAAGCATATGAAAAAAGAAACAAGAAGCCTCATCTAGACGGTTGTTGATTAATAGCGTGTCAGCTTTAATTGGTCGCAAAATTGGACGGCGTTAACACGTATATAAATACCGATAGGAAAAAAGCTCTTGACTTCGTATCTATTGAATAGAATACTTGAAATTCCTTTTTTTGGAAACGAGATAAAATAATTTAATTCATTGGCTATGTTTATTATTAATAATCGACACATGTAGATTATCAAAGATAATAATAATAGGTTGTACCTTATTCGATGCTCTTTTATTCAATATACTCATCATTATTGTCTCTTTTGGCTATAGAGAAAAAACATGGAAGAAGAAGAAGAAGAAGAAGAAATTCTAGCCCTCAGGTTGTATTTTTCTTCATCTCCTTCATATTTATATTCCATGTGTTGTGTGCCACCATTTACTCATTCAATCGACCAACCGAACGAACGAAAGATGAACAAATGTATACGAAGCAATCAAGCGAGAAATAAGCAGCGTTGTATATGATAGAGCGCACAAAAAAGAAAGAAGAGAAGAGAGAGAGAGAGAAATTGACTAAATTGGATGAAGCATGGCGTCGCTCAATGTTCGAAGAAGAATGGTCTGACAAGCAAAATAGAATTAAAACAGGGTGGAGCTTTGCTCATAAATTGAAGATGACGATAGTCATATGGACAAAAAGAAAAGTGCAATCGCCGTTCCCTCTTCATACATGCTTTAATATGCAGGGTTAAAAGATAAGGTCTTATCATTATCATCATCATCATCATCATCATCGCTCTTCTTTTCACCACTGAATGTACATGGCTCCAAGGGACATCTCATATATAAGTCAAGTGTTTGTCTGCTTTTAGTCATTCCATCTGTTGTGTTTCTATAAGGTGCTAAGATTACATAAATAAGTTTCTATTTTCTTTTACATGATACGATCTATTTGTTTCAACTCGATAAAAGAAATAAGATCGTTTTCTCTACTCGAAACATATTTATATTAAATGCAAGAAAAAAAATAGTAAAATTAATTATTTGTAATTTATACTTACAAACCACATCCGTTTGGAATTTATTGGAAAGTATTGGAGTTTGTTGTTCTTGTTTATTTTCATCATTAATAAATTGTGTTTGACTAGCTTCACAATGAAATAAACGTTGATGAAAATGACGATTGATTCGAAGTGTTATAATAAGTATTGTTCGGTAAGTTTTATCGTCGTTTTCAATTGTAGAATTTTTTTCTACACGATACTCAATATCAAATGGAAAAAAAATATAAGCAGCTGGTAAAGCACGTGATACAACACATGTAATACGTATTAATTGATTTTCTCGCAAACGTATTTGTCCATTATTTGATAATAATGAATAAAAAAGCAAATGTGTTGATGATGATGATTGATGAAAAAGATCCTTATCGGTTTGATTTGATGTATAAGTTATTGTTGAATCGTGTGACGATAGAAGTTGAGCACCAAGTTCAACAGTTGTAAGGCGAACTAAAATATAGATTTCAAATGAAATGATCTTATATTACATGTTATCTCTTATTTCTGTTTTAACAATAGATTTCTCTTTTTCCTTTTTTTTATCGTTTTTTTCCGTTAGGTTCTCATTCTCTCTCGGGTAACGTGTGTTGTCGAGTGGTTTCCCGTGGACAATGCCCTTTATACATTTTTTCTTTTCGAGAGTGTAAATGAATGAATAATGAAGAGGTGAGAAAAGCGACAAAGAGAAGGACAGAGAGAAAGCGAGAGTACATTCTACGATGAGATTCAATTTCTCTAGTCATCTATACAATCGTCATATATGTGCGTGTATGCACTTTTTAGAATAACATACGCAACGGGTAGCGATAGTATAGAAAAGTTTAACAGGCGGAAACACACAACTATGATCTTCGTATTAAAATAGAATGATGTAAAAGAGAGAGAGAGAGAGGGAAAGAAATGAATAATAGAGGTAGTTCAAGCACAGACTATAGACATCGTTTACCGGCTGTGCTAACACGGCTGCATAATACCGACACATTAAGAGAGTGAGAAAGGAAATAAGCACACGCATAGTCATCGATAGAAAGTGTGGAAGAAGATGAAGAAAAAGAAATGAGAGGATCTGAAATCAGAAGCGCGGAAGAAACCACACCCTGCTAGTAGCATTACTAGTAGCAAGGTTGGTGATTGAAGATAAAGATGACGACGATTCATCTTCATCTTTCACTATTGTCTCTTGGGAAGTATGTTGTAATCTCCGGATTAGTTTGTTCCAAGTGCGAACGAATAGAGCAACGACACACATAACAATGTTGTCAAAGCGAATAAGAACAATGATTAGACTTCACTAGATTCTCTTCTGGTATTCTTATAGTCGAATGTGAGCGATGAAGCGAAAGAATGAAGAGAGAAAAAAAAGAAAAAGAAAAAAAAACAAAAGGAACATGCCAATCAATATGTGGATTTTTGTCCAATTTTTTCTTCTTTATTCAAAGAATCTATATGACAATAGTTTTGTGCAATGAGACTCCTAAATATGATTTTAACACAATCTCAATTAACAAACCAATAGTTGACAAGACACACATCTATTATTTTTCTCATAAAATTAATATTAGCTCAGTGAGATCGATCGATGACAGTGTGCACGCGTACACATTAGAGCAAATACAATAGACACAGCATTATACACATATGCATATATATATATTACTATCCGATTCGGCTCTGTTCACAGCCACTTGACGTAATATTACTCGTGTTTCTTGCTGTGCACCATCGATCATCAAGAGCGCGTGTGTGTTGTATCAGTATTATTATATATGTGATAGAAAAAGAAAAGGGAAAAAAATCGGAAATTATTTCGGAAAAGTGTGTAACACGCATCCTTCCCATTCTATCAACGTTGTCAGATGTATATACGTTCTATACTCGTACATAAATCTGAACTAGTTAAATCATCTAACAGTTGTTAATATCTCAAAGGAGAAATTAAAACTATGATGAAGTCTGGAAAAGACAACGAAAGATCAATGTATATGTATGTATCTGTATATGATGGGGAGGAGTAAAAAATTTATGTGTCATTCACATACATATACAATTGCCTACTTGGTATAGACAAGAGTGTCTCACTCTCCTTCTTCTCTTTTTTTGCTCATTCGCATGATGCACACATGCTAGACATTATGTCACAGTATGAGAGAACAAAGACGGCAGATACTCGAGCTCATGTTAAGTAGGATATTAAAAATGTGTCGATAAGTAATTCAATAATCATTCAGAATAGGCAATTTTCTATACTTATAAACTCAATATTCTAAATCTAATTTTATTGAGATGAAACCTTTTTTTTTCCTCCTAAAACTTAACTTAATGATAATAAGAAAGACAAGATTACTTTGTCTTTCAATTGTTAATATATATAAAAGAAGATCCATAATTTTTCTATAGAAATTTTATAATATAATATAATATAATCCGATTTAGTAAAGCCTTATTTTATATATTATATGTAATTATACAAAGATACTTAAGTTGGAAATTCATCTAAGATAGAAAATTTCAAAAAGATTGAGTATAATAACATGATAAATTAAGATGTGAAATTACTTTTTTTCTTTCCCCCTAAAAATATTTATACGTACGTACTTTTTAAACGTTCTATTAAATTCTATTCTATATTTTCTCGCAAAATATAAATCGCCAAGATTTATAAATAAAAGTAGAAAAGCTTTAGATTTTTATTTTAGTTCTCTATTACTCTAATGTAAAAAAAATCGTTCCCGAACCGATTGATTTCAGCAATATTTTCTACTATATACAATAATTGCCTATACTATTCTCAAATATTGATCAATCCGTTGTTTGCCTAATACTAAATATAGAGGCAATATTGAACAAATAAATTCGTTATTTTACTAATAGATTGATTCTTTATATGATAGTCTTAGTTATTTAGATATAGAAGCATTTTTACTCGATATCTGTATCTACAATATATTTAATTATCTGTGAATAGATTCTATAGACAGCATAACAAACATTTTTTCGGTTGATTCTTCTCAACACAACAAGTCTACAAGATGGTCTACAAGTAAAAAGAGTTATAAAGTACTTTTTAGTTGTATCATTATAGATCAATAGTTAGATATTATATTTAGATCATATATACCAGATAACAATATTCACAGAAACAGCCTTTAGCTATAAGTGTTTATTAAAAAACGTACGAGTATTTCTCGGCGACACTTATGTCGTTATTACAAACATTTGTTGTTTTCTGTCATAACGTATGTGTGTGTGTGTGTATATCTTTATTTCTGATTGCATCAAAATGTCTAGAGCCATTTGATTTATCTATTATCTTAGACATTTAGCATAGAGAACTAATGAAAAAATGGGATAGAAAGAAAGAAGGAAATCAATTGATTTGAAATAGTAAATAACAGAATTTCGTGTGTAAATGGTAATAATATTATGTTTCTCTGAGCTCTATTCCATAGTGTATATTGTACAAATTTGATATATAACTATTGAGAATAGAAGAAAAGAATTTCGAATTTCCTTATTTTTTAAATGACATAACATGATTCTTAATTCTCACGAAACAATTTCATACAAAATATTTTTATTAATTAAATATACAATTTTTTGTATAATATAAATCGAAATTTTTTGAAAAAAAATTCTACTGTAATTAATCTTTCTCTAGAGACCTGGAGATTCTTTAGTTTTCCCCGTTTTTATTATTTCTTTTACTATTTATAAATCTGAATATTAATCTCTTCTATAGAATATTTCCGGCAATCGACGAAACAATATATATATTAAGACTTGATAATAATCAAAATAGGAACATATTAAAAAATTGTATACTCAAAATTTATTATGAATAAAAAGAAAAAGTGTGATCATTTTTCATACTATTTTTCTATTTTATCAGAAATCTGTTACTTCTTTTACGGATACTAAATGAAAAGTATATTGCACTGAATTTTAAGTCGATAATAAAGACTCAAAGACTGATGAATATGTGTTCATATTTTCAGCAATAATTAAAAGACAGATTTGATAAATCTCAAATAAATATACCTGTTACAGTTAAATTAAATTGTCGAATAGCTCCTAATGTTTCACATTCATAAATTCCTGAGTCATTTGATTGAAGATGATGAATATTTAATGTATGCAGTTGTATTCCACTTGTTGTTGTTCCATCGTCCTTTTTTTCTAAAGTCATTTTTGAACGATATTTTGATAGAATAATACCATATCTTGTTGCTAATAAATTTGGTCGTTTCCACCAAGCAACATCAGTTAAATCACATGTTAAACCAATATGACTATTTTCCGGACGATATATTATTTCGAAACGATTATTGTCTTCCTGATTATCAGTTAATATCATATTTATTTGAATAAGAAACAAGATAAGAATAAAAATAAATCGTTCTTTAAATTCAATTGTATACATGTGATAATGTTATTGACGACAATGATGAGACAAACATAGTCGTCGTTATATTAATATACAGAAATGATTATCTACAAGCGAAAAAAAAAAGAAGAAAAAATTCTTTGTATGTAGGTAAAGGTCATAAACAAAGAACGAAAGAATTATAATGTCGACTCAAACATCTAGATTGTCAATTAGTGACAGATAATGTCATCATACATGACATATTCTTCTTGTCGTCGATTATTATATATGTAAAAAGATAATATAAACGAACATCTATATATAAACCAAATGTCTATTTAAAGTCTATAATATATATATTTCTTTTTTTTTATATTGACTAATATAAACGATTAAGAGATGTATTGAATGATAAATTGACATATCTCAATGAGGCTTTTCTTTCGTTTCAATTGAATAATAGATATACTTCATTATGATTGTATTAATATGTTTGGTATTATCATATTGCGCTAAGAGATGTAGAAAATAGTGTGAAATCTGCAGGAGTCGATTAGTAAATGATGTTGCATGAGGAACGTGTCAAAATGAAAAAGTACGATACAGACACTTTGTATGTCGACATGATGATGAGAGAAGGAAAAGTCAATAGATCTATACATGCAAGCTATCGTTCGTCTTTCTCGAGTAGTGTTACTAATCATAGCACGTCTCACACAGTATGGGGGAGAATCCGATTGTTAAACAAAAATAATAATCACCTCTGACGCGTGAAGCAACTTATATGTACTGTCTTCTTTTTTCGTTGCTTAACATGTATGTATTATACGCGATTAATCTAGTGACTTGCCAATTCCCTTTAGTGCTGCCTCTCTTTTTCTTCATCTCTCCCGGCTATAACCTCACCATTGTTGTCAAGTTATATTAGAGAATGATGCGTCCTTCGTTGTCCGTTTTCTCTTGAGCTCTTGTACAAACAGATCACTCTCTCTCTCTCTCTGCCTCTTCCGTCTTCTTTTCTTATCATAGAGTAACTGATAATGCCTGTTCAGGATCATCGATAGTATTCTAGTCATCAATGCATCAGATTGAACGGAGTAATACACTATCCTTTGGCTAGAGAAGTGAACAACAATAACAAATCGATAAAGAGCAATAGCAGTAATGCTAATCTTTTACTGTTCGATTGTTCGTTCATTTGACCATTTACTGATAGTAATAGTAAGATAAATCATCACAACGAAAGAAAAAAGAGAACAGTTCGAGACTTGATCGGATGGACAAGAAACTTGCCTTGCATGCGAGAAAACAATTATCGCCATACATACATACACACTTGTGCTGCACAGAACACATCAAGCAGGAAGCGACTCGCAAGAAAGCAAGTTCTAATATTGACGAAACGGCTTGAGTCCCATAATGATTTCTTTGACACACAAAGTTAGAGACAGAAGAAGTCAAATGATGGCCGCAAGCGTCAATGAGATTATGAAACTTTTTTGTAACTCTCTTCATTTTGCCGTTTTTTTTTGTCTATCTGTTTTTCTCATATATATATATTATATACATATTCTCTCTTATTCTTTGTCTTTTTTTCGTATATAAGTTACTACAATAAGAGTCATCAAACAAAGGCTGTAAAAATAAAAGTCATTACACTCATAAAAATTTACACAGACCAGCTGGTACAGCTGTAGATTGTTCGAACTGATTCTTACAAATGAAACATGAGATACCGTAACAAGGCCAGCATAGTATGCATCGATTACCTCGGGACATATAGATAGAAATATATTACTATTTTCTTTATGCTGATCTCTGCCTATCTATTTCTCTTTCTCTGTTGAGATGATCGTTGAGACCTATATCACTTACCTCTAAAAAAAACAATTAGATTGAACAACATGGCAATCGATGGAAGGAAGATGATGAAGAACAAAGAGTTTGATCAATGAGGGGAAAGAACGCTCAAGAGATTTTTGGCTTACTAAATAAATTTTCTTTTTCTTATGTCCATTCTGGTGTTTCTTTCTTTTTCTTTTTGTTCTTCTCTGTGTTCATTCACTCACTCTCTCTCTCTCTGTCTTTTTGTCTCTCCCTCTCTCTCCCTCCTCAGGGAATAAATCATCGTGAGACAATTGCCGATGATCTGAACCAGTGAAACTTGCTCTTACATTCATTGGGACTAGTCATCGGTTATAGGAATAAAATAAAAGAGAAAAAAAAGTGTAAAGCAAATACGCAATAATATAAATGAGGTCATCTCTAGACAGGTGCTTGACAATCAGAACAAAAAAAGAAAGGAGGGAAGAAATGAGAAAAAAATAGATAATCAATTTACCTCATAACTGATCGTATTTTCATGTTCACAGTTTTCCTGCTCATTGGACACAAATTCAATTTAGATTCAATACATAAGTTAGTGATACTTACAAATTCTATTAAAATTCGAGTATCCACTTTTTAACTTCATTTCTTGAACAAAAAAGATCTTGATCGTCTGTCAGTGTATGAAGAAAAAAAAGAAGAAGAAGATGAATAAAAAAAAGAGAAAACGAAGCCACTTGATTCTATTCATCGGGTAACTCTGTTGACTGTAATTGTTCAATCAAGCAACCGGAAAGTCACAGCTGAAAGAAGGCGTATACACATGCATCCGTCTTTTTTTATAGATATATCTTAATACACATACATGCATATGTATATGAACAATTAAAATTAAATCAGCAATTGTTTAACTAAAAGTACATTTCAATAATACATAGAACAAAACGTTTTGTTAACAAGTACCTATTCATTGTTGATTTTCAATCTATCTTCATTGATCGAAAGGACGGTATAACTGAACAAACATGTCGTTAGTAGTCGCGTGCTTGTTAATGAAGACAAATGACATGCGAAAAATAAACATATATGTCTGTCTTTAGTACTCTATAAATGTACAATGCTAATAAGTCAATTAACACGAATAGGATAGGATAGGAAAAAAAAGATCATATTATTATTATTATTACGATTATTATTATAAATATGTTCGTTTTGACTTTCTTGCCAATGCTTCAAACAAAACATACAATAAAAAAATGTCAATCATTCGTATGACACGAAATAGACAGAAAGAATATCTGTTAATATTTTACTTTAATGAAACTGATATAACATTCAAGGTTAAATGAAAATAAGAAAGAATACATGTCCGTTAATAATATAGTTGAACAAGTGTTCTATACTTTAACCTTAGTAAAGAACACTTCATTCGCTTTCCAATGTCTTCTTTGCCGCATCATCATTGCGTGTAATCAAGCATTGAACAGGTATCTAGGAGAGAAAAAAAAAGGAAGCAGAGAAATCTTTTTATTTTACACATATTCATTTTTCTGATTGCATTAGCATTTTACTTGTTTTCTCATCATTCAAAAAATAGTACTTATTTCCATTTCTTTTCTTTTTGTTTAAGTGACATTCGAGATCTATTCTTATCAACCTTCAACATCTTGAGTAGTGAACCGCACCTTATATATATATATATAACGTTCTTTACTTGGTTTCCGATTAAAAATTAACTCTATGTGTTCTTCGTGCTCTTGGATGTATACAGAATTATAAAAAGCAATGCTGAATCGAGTTAATTATACGGGACAATTTTTTTTAAGCCAGTAAATTTGAGAAAAAAAAACAATATATTATATTTCACTAGTTTATTTAAATTTACAAAAAATGAAAGATTCATATACATATAAGAATAACAGGCGAAAGTATTAGATGACAAATAAAGAAATCATTCGAGGTACAATTTCTGTTTAATTCACAATCTGATTCTATCTATATTTATCACTTTACTCTTATATGTTTATTTAATAAGAATAACAAGGGAGAGATGTCCACAGCTTTAAGAGTGTCTACTTAAATGCTTTTAAATCATCAAACAAACATTATAGAATTTCCTTTTTTTTTTTAAGTTTTAAAAATTTGCGTTATTTATAACTGAAGATATGTCCATTAACGGTTATTGAAAATATTTTTCTGTATTAATCATATTTTAATTTCATGTTTTCTTTAATATCGCATTCGAATTACTTATTTTTTTACGCAAAAAACAAATAATAATAATAAAAAACAATTATATTAAATGCTTGAAGTGAAAATAAAATGTATGAAAAAAAAAAGTATTACTCATATGAAATTAAAAAAATTATATTTCTTCAATGTCACTACCGGGACCTTTAGCAAAATGTTTCATATTATTTTGAAGTGATTTCATAAGTGCATGTGCATCACGACGCATTTCTTCATTATGTAATTGATCATAATCAGCTAAAGCTTCCTTTGAAAATGACAAAATACAAAAAATCTTAAAATTGATTCTGTATATATATCGTACTTCATAAGCTTGTTTAGCTATTTTCAATGCATTCTCAGTTTTCGATTTTGAATTAAAACAAAAAACAGAATAATTAAGCATTATACCAACGCGTACAGGATGATATGCTGGTAGATTATTTTCAGCTAATTCTTTTGCATTTAAATAACAATGATTAGCTTCATTTTGTAATGATTCTTTAAGATTTATTGAAGCTATTTCAATTTCATATCGTATAAAATCACCTTTCATACGTTCATAGAATGCAATTTGTTCAGCATCATTTCGTGCATTTGGTGTAAGAACATCTTTTACAATAGCTTATATTTCATAGAAAAATGAAAAAAAAAATGAAGCTTTACAATAGTTGATTTAAATATTTACTAAGTAATTCTTGACATAAATTCCATAATTCATTAGCAATTTCTTCTCGATACTGTTCACATATCTGATAGCAAAAATTTTATTCATTGTCAAATTTTATATTCTTACATTTTTACCTGTGTTAATTTTATTTCATCAATTTTTTTACAATATGTGGAAAGATGACGAATTGCTATGAACATCAAAGGACATATTATTTATCTTTACTATCAGACATATTTACACACACACCTGTTCTTCGTGTTGTAACAGCATTTTTATAGGCAACAACAAGTAAATTTCTTTCATCAGCAGTTAATTTCTTTTTTAAATCAAGTACATTTCTCATTTGTATTAACATATCTTCATAACGTAAAGCTTTTTCAGCTAAACGTGCACGATAAATATAATCCTCAACTGTAAATTTGGAATTTTTTGTATTTGATCCTAATTGATTTTCATCATTGATATTAACAATCAATGATTTTGTTTGTTTACGCATATTTTGAATATGATCTTCTATTTGATATGACATGATAATTAATTTACACAATCATTATTAAGAAAAAACCAGAATGATTTCGATTCATTCAATATTTCAATATTTTTTTAAATGTGCGCGCACTCTTAGACTTGTTATTTGTTGTACATTCGTATGATAATTAACTAATTTTGCACATTGGAATACCGTACGTATAAAACGGTAACCATCAAAATAAACAGAGTCTAATAAGCGTAAAAACCCTGGTAAATCGACGTCTCACTATATGTATATATATATTTATCGTTGTTGCACGTCTGTAACTAATCGGAAGGAAGACGTTTTACAATTTACTTCATAATTACTTACCTATCTGTTAATGATGGTTTCACAGTGTTGAAAGTAGTTGATGATTATCATCGAAACAGGAGAGAAAGAGATATTGACAAGTAATTAACTTTTTTTTGTTCGCCTAAATGATAGTTGCGGTAAAAAAAGAGAGTGAATGAAGAACGGGAAGAAGTGAAAATATGAATGCAAGAAAGTTGTCATCAAAATAGCTTTGTATATGAAACGGCAAATGTGGACGAAAAATGACCTTGTAGTATGCGGTTTGCTTCATTGATTTTAATGGTAGTATTTAAAATGACAAGCAAACAAGTGTTACATATACGTTACTTGTTGACTAGCTCTCTTGGTGGCATATTCATATAATTATGGTTGACGCCGTGTTTAACCAAGCTGGTATTGACTTGTTTTTTTTTTCTTCTTAACAATATATACTAGTATTATGTTTTCTTTTCAACAGATCTTAATAAAGATCAACGACTTGATTTCAATGAATTTCGTAATCTTATTGCCCAAAGTTTGGGTGCAGGAGCTGGAGCAGCAAGTTATGCAGGAAGTACAACCGCTGGTAATGGTGGTGCTAATCAATTTACAACAAGTTCGACTACTGGTGGTAATAATCAGTATACAACAAGTTCGTACGAAGCATCAGGACATGCCACCTTTGCTGAAGGTAATGGTACAAATGGAAGTTTTGGTAGTACTGGCGCAATCGGAGCAAGCCATGGAAATGAAACAGGTAATGTCGGCTGCGAGGGAAGCTATAGTTCTTATGAACGTTCATCGTTCACACCAACATCCGGTGTTGATGTGACTGGCTTTGATGCCAACACATCAGCGGGTATTGGTGGGTTCGATGCTAGTTCAGCTAGTAGCTACGGAGCCGGCGGAATTGAAGCAAGCTCAGCATCTGCTGTAGGTTATGGAGGTGGAGAAACTGCTGGTGCATCATCATCAACATTCGAAACAACTAGTTCACAAAATCAAGTACAAGTAAATGGCGGCGCCAACGCTCAAAATCTGTACCAAGATCCTAATCCACAAATCATCCGACGACCAGCACAAGGTGGACCAGTAACATACACACAAAATGTTAAAATTCGATTTCTTCAACCACCACCTATTCCACCACCAGGCGTATAATCACTTCTTATTATATACACATACTTTTTTCATTTCAAAACTTTTATAATTTTTAGCCACTTATCATTAAAGAAGTACGACCACCTCAACCACCACCACCACCACCACTTCGTGTTCGTCAACAAGCACCACCCCCACCTCAACCACCTCCACTTATTCTACGTGAAAAACCACCAGCGCCACCATCAAATACTGGTTCACAAACTGGTAAAAACAAAATATTCGTTCTTTTAAAGTACTAATTTTTATTGACACTTTTTTTTCTAGTTCTTCGACGATTACCTGCTATACCTGTCCCCCCTCGATCAGTAATTATCGAACGTTTACCAGCATTACCACCAAAACCACGTATGTTGTTTTCGTTCTATTTTGTTTTTTCATATTACTAATTAAAAAATAATTAATTACTATTAGGTGATATTATCATCGAACGATGGGTTCCGTATTCACACACATCGAAACGAAAAACTATCGTGCAACGTGCAGAAGCAGCAAAAGACTATCCAAAACCACGTAATATTATCATTCAATATGAACCAGTACAAGTACGTGTTGTTCGACAATTCCAACGTCTCGGTGTTACACAAGAAAGTCCAGCTGCATATGTTCAACGCTATGGATCATCACTTTTAGAAGCACAAACATTAGTACAACAAGCTCGTGCTGCTGGTGTTGTTGAAGATATTGTATGATGAAATAATATTTCATAATATTTTTTTTTTCTAAATTTTTATATTATATTTTTTTTTAGTCACCACCAAAAGGTGGCCCTAGTCCTACAGGAAGTTCAGCATCACTTAATGGTGAATATAATAGTGCAGGTTCAACTGTTGGAGCAACCAGTGGTGTTGATCTTACAGCTGGTGGTGCAGGTTACGGAAGTGCTGGTGCTGATTTCACAAGTGCTGGTGCTGATTTCACAAGTGCCGGTGCTGAGCATTCAACTGGTAGTGTTGATTATTCAGGTGCTGCTGCTGATTTCTCAGGAGGTGAAGGTCTTGATTATACAACTGCTGGTGGTGATTATGCAACTGGTGGTGAAATTGGAACTTCTGCATCGCCTGCTCAATCATTGAATCGTAGTCGTAGCGGTAGTCAACACAGAAATGCAAGCATCAGTGGTGGTTATGGTACAACACAAGTTACTGGTGGTAGTCATAGAAATTCAGTCGCCACTGGTGGTTATGATACAACACATGTTACTGGTGGTAGTAGTCATAGAAATTCAGTCGCCAATGGTGGTTATGATACAACACATGTTAGTGGTGGTAGTCATAGAAATTCAGTCGCCACTGGTGGTTATGATACAACACAAGTTACTGGTGGTAGTCAACACAGAGCTTCAAACTTCACTGGCTTTGATACAACTCAAGTTACTGGTGGTAGTCACAGAAATTCAACCGTCGCTGGTGGTTTCGAAACAGCACAAACTAGTGGTGGTAGTCACAGAGCTTCAAACTTCACAGGTTTTGATGCAACACAAGCTAGTGGTGTAGAAGGTTTTCCATCAACATACGAGAGAGGAACTTCATTTGCATCTCAAAGCGGTCGTGTACAATCTCCAGGAGCAGACTTCGTTGGTGCTAGTGCATCTGGATATGAAAGTTATAACGGTACAAGTGGTGTTGCTCATTCAGAAGATAGTGATCCAGCTACTATTGCCTTCAATGAAGCAGATTTGAATAAAGATGGTACACTTGATCCCAATGAATTTCGTCAATTTCTTAGCGCTCAATTTCAACATCGGTAAATATAAAAAAAAACATTTTTTTCTAATATAAATTTTATTGCATATGATAATTTAATTTTAGAACATAATGCTAACGATTGACTGATACTGACTTTAAAAAAAAATCATAAAAAAAAAAGAAGCTTCCGATTTGAAAAAATTCTTGTGATAAGGACAAGGACAAGAATTTTTCCTTCTCTCTTCGTTTTTTTTCTATCATTTCTTTTATGATATGCTTTCGTTCTGCTTCTTTTTCTCATTCTAATTGTTTATTTTTTCTTGCATCAATTATTTATTCATTTGCTTTTCTTGCTATTATTTTTATATATAGATAGACTAATACTTATTCAGTTGTCATTATTCAGTTTTTGTCTCGCTTTTTTTTTCCTTACTTCAATAAATAAAACAGCAAACTAATCAAAATTGTAATCATAATATTGATGATGATGTTGTTGATGATAATTATAATGATAAATATTAATTTATATATATTAGTTTATTCTGTATTTTTATAAATTGACCAGAACGTAATTACAAAAATATACTAGCAAAAGTTGAGTAGTTTAAAAAACATGAAATTAGTTTAAAAATATTAATATTAGTAATAATAAAAAAAAAGTAGAATTGAAATTGCAAGCTTGAATAATATTTTTGGAAGACCAATCTATACGTATTTCACTGTATTCATAATAAACGATACACAAAATGTTCAAATATTAATCATATTTTAGAATCCGACAGTTCGGAATTCACTTATACATAAAACATCGTCCATTTTGACACCTAGTAGCTGTCGATGCTGAATCATTTGTACCATCAAGGTCATTATTTACAAGGGCAGTAGTATCTATACCAGCACCATATCTAGAAGTATCGATCGCAGCTGAGTAAGATGATGACTCATACGATGATGTACCACCAACATCAGATACTCCAGTGTCGAAATTTGCGACATTTTCAATAGTATGATTAGCTATTGTACTAGTGAGAGCTGGTGCTGACTATATATATGAGAGAATACATTTATTAATATTAAGATTATAACATTAAATGACTTACAATATCTTCAACAACACCAGCAGCACGAGCTTGTGTTAATAATGTTTGTGTATCTAAAAGGGATTCTCCATAACGTTGAGCATATGCAGCAGGGTTTTCTTGTGTAACACCAAGACGTTGAAATTGTCGAACAACACGTACTTGAATGGGTTCATAATGAATAACAACATTACGTGGTTCTGGATACGGTTGAGCAGCTGCGGCGCGTTGAACGATAACTTTGCGTTTTGCGGCTACTTCATACGGTATCCACCGTTCGATGATAATATCTCCTAATAGTAATTAATTATTTTTTAATTAGTAATATGAAAAAACAAAATAGAACGAAAACAACATACGCGGTTTTGGTGGTAATGCTGGTAAATGTTCGATAATTACTGTTCGAGGCGGGACAGGAGGAGCAGCCAATCGTCGAATAACTGGAAGAAAAAAAATCAATCAACAAATATAATGAATGATTTTTCTATGTTGTTACTTGTTCGAGAAGCTATACTAGCTGGTGGAATTGGTGGTCGTTCACGTAAAACAAGTGGAGGTGGTTGAGGAAGAGGAGGAGCTTGTTGTCGAATACGAAGTGGTGGTGGAGGTGGTGGTTGTGGTGGTCGTATTTCTTTGATGATGAGTGGCTTTAATAAAGAAAATATTGTGAGATTAAAGTCAGAAAAATAAATTGAAAAAAAAAACTTACACCTGGTGGTGGAGTAGGTGGTGGTTGAAGAAATCGAATTTTAACATTTTGTGTGTAAGCTACAGCACCGCTTGCCGCTGGACGACGTATGATTTGTGGATTGGGATCTTTGAAGATACCTTGAGCATCAGTTTCATAGCGTTGAACAGTATTTGTTTGTGTAGTGATTCCATTTCCAGCTTTAGCATATGCAAGATTGTCACTTAAAGCACCATCAGTTATTGATGATTCGTATGATGAGGACTGGTATGAAGATGAGTCAGTTGATTCAGTAGCACCAATAATATTTTGAAACTCGTTTAAATCAAGTCTTTGATCATGATTAACATCAGCTTGAGCAAATAAAGCATCAACAGCAGTCATTTTTCTGTAGTTTAATTACTAATATGGACGATAATGTATAATAAAAACCACTAGTTCATATGGATTTATATACTCATAAGTTAGGTTAAAAGCATTCATGCGAATTAAACATGTCTTTCTTTTGTTTATCATATCTCTTATTCCTTTAATTCATTGTTGTATTAAAAAATGAACGCATGTCATTTTTTTCTCTGTCAACCCTTTTCATATTTTATTGTACTGCCGATAGCCTTGAAACTTCATTTTTTGTATCTCTATATTCTATGTTTACAATCAATTGTTCATAGTGCATGGTTACTGAGTATAACGATAAAAAAAGAAGGTATTATGAAAGAAGGATTTTTAAACGGTACAGTGAATTGTAGTTTATTATGAGACATTGTTGTTGATGATTTCCTTAGTTTCATACTTCCCATGAAAAAATCTAGACGAGATCAAGGACAATGATAAAAAAGTATATTCTATGACATTCGATATTTGGATTGCTCTTCAATCAAAACAATTTTTATAGACAATAATGAATTCATTCTTTAGTCATGTGTATCTTGAAAATATGTACCGAAAAATAGCTTGCTACAATAGCGATACAACATTTATCTGTTTTTCTAGAATAAACGTTAATCAATATAAATTCATAAATGCAAGAGCAACTAGAATTTGCAAGACAAAAATCAATAATATTCTAGCTATGTCAATACTTAATTCGTGCGAAAATAACAAAAAATCTACATAGAATAGATATTTTTATTAAGAAGTGACATCTCATGAAATTCTTTCTATTATTGGATAAACCATACCACCAATCAGCAAAAGATTACTAAATTCATTCTAAGAAGAAAAAAAAAACTTTATTTCTTTTATTTGAAAAAAAATACATGGCTTCTCGTACGGTAAATACACCTGCTAATGATGAAGAAGATCTAGCTAATGTTGAAGATATCGAACAATTATGTAGTCAAATATCAAAATATGAACCATGTTTTCGTTTATCACTTATACAATATCATCTTAGACGATTAGGTATTGCATGTAATGATGAACGTTTTATTAAGTTATTATCGTTATCATTTGAAACAATGGTAAATAAATTTTATCAATCAATATTTTATTTATTAGAATTATATTTTAAGGTTCGTTCAATTATATCCGATTGTGCTACTGTAAATAAAGACAATAATACATCATCAAAAACTCTTACAAGTGAATTACTCACTCAAACATTACTTAATACAACAACAACATCAACAGATAATAATAATCAAACAATAACAAATTCACAACAAAATAATGATAATACATTAGATTTAAACGATTTGTTCGATTGATATTTTTGTAATATAGAAAATAAAAGGACAGAATGGATATAAATCAATCTTTTCTATTCAAAATAATTTCAACATGACTCTGAATATATACATATTTAACAGAATAGCTTAGAAAATATTTTCTTTTTTCATGCGGTTTCTATCTGTATTTTAACTTTAAATTCCATACATAAACACCACATATTTGTTAAAGATGAATCATCAATAGATATAAATATTATTAGATTTTGATTATATATAATGAGAACAAGTGTAAATATCGACAAAGATTCGAAAATCAATTCTTTTTCACAATCTTAGGTGATTCGTTGCATTATTACCTTGAATCTGAGAACGTATAAAACTTAACAGACAACATACAACTGTATGTTTCTATAATAGGAGAGAGGGAGAAAAAAGAGAATGTGGCATTATACATACCTACACGTTGGTCTCTCTATATGTTTGGTTGCGTCTGCATCATTGGCATCGTTTTTATGTTAGAAGAAAGAAATATAGATCCCCCAATCTCAAATGACGAGTGATATAATTATAAATAAAGCAGATTTTCAACGTCATTTAAATGGTTGTGAACGACGTTTAAATGATTTAACCAATTCACTTCAATCAATAGAAAAATTTGCTCAAAAATTATTAATCAATAATAATGAAAAAGAACAAGAAATTTATTTCAAACAATTAGATGAAATAATACCACAAATTAAATTTCTTTATTCATCTATGATCACATTAGATCAATCATCATTTGTCGAAAATGGAAGAAAACGTATAGATTCTTTAAAAAGTAATCTTGAAAAAAATCGAATTAAATTTGAACAAATTCAACAATATGCTCGAATTAAATTTGGTTATGAATATAAATTAGATGATTTTGAAGAAATGAATGGTGAACAACAAGAACAATCATTAAAATTAATCGAGAAAAAATCTAATGATGAACGAATTGAATTAGATGTTATTAAAGAACATACAGTTATTGTTAATGGTTTAGAAAAAGATATAAGTGAATTACATGGAGCATTTATTGATATTAATCGTCTTATACATGAACAAGGAGCAATGGTTGATACTATTGAACATGCATTAACAACTACAGATGTAATCGTACATGAAGCAAAAGAAGCTATTCAAACAGCTGTTGATGTTAAAAAACGTTCGTCGCGTAAAAAATGGATTTTGATTTTTGTTCTTATTTCTATTTTAATTATTATTATAGTTATATTGTGTGTTATATATAAAGTTACTCCTCCTATTGGTTAACAGTAAATAAATATTTATCATCCTAGTCAAAAAAAACCGGCTAGTGATTTCTAATGTACAGTTAATTACCGCATTAATACTTTTTAAAAATTGATATTTTTTGTTAGTACTTCAATAAACCAGACAATTGTCAGTATTTGGAAGTTTCGGATATTAAACCTTTGCGAGTTAGTTTTTGACATTAAAAAATCTTGATTGTTTTTGTTTAATAATAATATGCATCATTACTAATCATTCTATAAGATAAAATATTTTATTTATTTTTTATGAAAAGAACTATTATTATCTAATTCCTTCACACGAATGACTTAGGAATTTAAAGAAACTCTCTTTTGCATTGCAAGAGTCCAGAGTCTAATAATTCAGTTGAATAATAATTGAAAGCTGTTAATATATTATAATGTTTATTCTCTAAAGTTTTATATTTTTATAATGTATCAATAAGGTAATAAATTCTGCTAAGATCTCACAATAGTCTATGATATATATACTTATAAATAGAATTAGAATAGTTCATTCTTTCTATTACATTTTAATAGTGATATGTAACATTAGGTCTGATGAAGTTGTAAACTATAAAAAAACTGTCACATTATTATAAATAAACATAATTAGGCTATATTATAAATTAATAATCGCATTATTTGGAAGAGAATTAAAATACGTCTTGAAAAAAGTACATTGGCAACTTATCGTCAGTTATTATAAGACATCGTTCAGAATATCAATTAAATCCGTGCTTCCAGGTCTTCTGCTTTTATTCTGTTGTTTCTGGCTTTGACATATTTTCTGGTTTTTACATTTTTTATTTTTTTGATCAAAATGTTAAGTATTCTAGTGAATCTTTTTGTTAAAAATGACAAGAAATGTTCTTATTCATATCTGACGAGGTTTCATCATTTTACTATCCTTCAGAATAACTCCACTCTCAGTGTCTACCGAAAATTTCCAATTCCTGTTTTTCATCGTAGTTCATTCTTTATCAACGTTTTACTTTAACGCATTATTTTTCCATATAGTCAGCTGATTCATGCGTATCGATATTTAACAAAGAATGATCAAAAAGATATTCCAGGACCAAAAAATATTTTCTATTTTTCAGACCTTAGGAACTGATAATGCTGATCAATTAAGTTTTAAATTTTTCTTTTGTTCTTCACAATAATACTTATTGTTTCTTGTCTCATTGTCTCGGACACAGTATTGTTTAGGGATTAGTTAGTGCTGATTCTCTACCAAATAGTCTTTTTACAGCACTCAGGTGATCAGATCAAGTGGTTAAAGTGGCGTCGTTGATATACATAGAGATTTTAACATAAGCCAGACGTGTCATATTATTACTTAGACTTATTGTATCAAAATATCTAATTAATAAAACGTTCGTATATGTCATGCATTCCTCTTCTATACAACGTATTTGAGATATTCAGATAGAGAAAAACTAGAAAGGAGAAGTAAGAATATGGAATAAAACAGGAAAGTGAACAAGATATTAGTTTACAACAATGATGTAAAGGACAGAACAAATTAGCATAGTAGGCTGCTTCATTGTAACATTTTTTCTCTGCTGTTTTTTTTGTATTACTATCATTAATAATGCATCTCTTTAGAAAAAAAAGACAAATGATTGCAGTGAACTTCTTTCAATCCTATCATCTGATCATAAATAAAATGTGAGCTTCTACAAGTTAATAGAATAATATTTGATTCCATAGAGAGAAAGTTTGATTGTCAGTTCAAAGTACGCAAATAAATGTCGAAATACTTGT